CAAAAGGTTTTTCTGTGAACTTGCTCTTGAAGACATGAATGACAACTGCTATCTTCAGTCTTAAGGAATTGCCTTGACCTTTCAAAGACGATTGAATGGCTTCACAATGACATGAGTCATCTTCCTTGTTAGCATGGATGACAGAGAGTAGATTAAATAAATACAATAGGCCAGAGATTTGGTGTTTCTTAAAGGCTTCTCCTGTTCTACATGGTGTAGTGCTAGAGCCTGAATAATAGGCCCTGAAACAAAGTTGACCTCTAGTTGAACGTCACAACCAAATATTATCCATTATTAGTATCTGCTAATGAGTAAAATCTGTATTACCATTAGCGTTTATTGATTAGTATCTGATCATTAACGAAATATGTATGCTCACTAGTGAAAGATGTAGCTTAGACAAAATGTAATTAGTAGTGAGAATTAAATGCTGTGAGAATGTGTATCCAGCTTCCCTTGTTTAGCAGTGTACAAGGCTGAGAACCCAAGTGTTAGGCCTTGTTAGAAACTCCCTTGGTTCTCCCCCCTGAGCCCTGAACAGGCTTTGAGTGGAATCCAACAGGAGGATGAAACCAGAAATTTTCCACTCAAAGAAAAGTGCAAGTCATTCTGACTTGCTGGGTTTTGGTATATAAGGCTGGACCCTCTTGTCATGACTTTGGATGCCTCATCTACGGCTGGACGCATCATGTAGGACTTCCCACTTGCAGGGGAAGGTACTCCAAATCCTTGCTGCAACCGGAGCTCCCCAGTGACTGTTGATCTGGATGATGGTAGCATATGCATGTGGTGATGTATCTTTCTTATTCACTATTCTTCCTGTTGTGTAGTAATGATTAGGTGCACTACCTTGCTTGTTCTCATTTTCTATAATTAACTCTGGTGTCTAATTGGCATCCTCAATCAGCAAAACACATGTTAAGATGTGTTTTGCTGATCCCATTTTTCCTTCTGGTAATGGGAATCAATCAGCTGACTTTCAAATATGTTCCAGAAATGCCTGAAAATAGGTAATTTTTTCTTCTGTCTCTACATATTGCACTTCTTTTGATAATTAGCTGGTTTTGTACCAAGAACTAAAATGGACCCTTTAAGCACATTCTCTCTTGTTATTTATTTCACACAGCTCTTTAATAACAGCGCAAAAATGTTGACTCTCACTATGGAAATGGAACATGCTATAGGAGTAACTTTTCTGTGTGGATTTCCTCTGATTTTGCTTCTTTCTTTCAGAAAAGAAGATGCTCTTAAGAAAAGAAATTACAATTGCATCAAAAAGCCAGTCCTAGTTTCCTTTTGCTTCTAAGGAAATATGATCCATGGGGAGCCACATGCTATTGTTTCACTACCAGATTTGTATGCATCTAAATCAGACACTCCATCTTGGATTACAAGTAAATTTGGAGCACCTTATTAGGTCTGCTGTAAGCAAATGATCATACACTCCAGGAATCCCAAGTCTCTGCAACCAGAGAAAAAGTCTGGAGCAATGAAGACTTACCCTGGTTGGAGGAGGACCAGTTTAGGGAGCAATTAAACAAGTGACATACCCTGGGGCATGACAGGTTGCACTTACAAGTGCTGAGAAAGCTGACTGAAGTCATTGGGAGGCCACTTTTAATAATCTTTGAAAGGCCATAGCGACTGGGAGTGTTGCCTCAAGACTGGAAGAGAGCAAGTGTCATGCTATCTTCCAGAAATGCAAAAAAGATCAAGGGAATGACAGGCCAGCCAGCTTCAGGTGAATCCCTGGGAAGGCAATGGAGCAACTAATCCTGGACACCATTTCCAATCTCAGGAAGGACAAGAAAATGGTCAGGAGTAGTCAGCATAGGTTTACAAAGGAGGAGTCATACTTACCAACCTGACAGCCACAGTGAGCTGGCTAGCTTGTTGGATGAGTGGAGAGCAGCAGGATGTTACCTTGTCTTTAGCAGAGCTTTTAACACTGTCTTCCACAACAACCCAGACAAACTGACAAAGTATGGGTTAAGTAAATGGACAGTGAGGTGAATTGAAAACTAGCCAAACAACCAGGCCCAGAGGTTGTGACAAGTGGCACAAAGTCAAGTTGGAAGCAACTCACTAGTGGTATACCTCAGGGATTTGTACTGGGGTCAATACTGTTTAACATCTTCAATAATGACCTAGATGATGGGGCAGAGTGCTGCTTCAGCAAATGCACAGATAATACAACCAGGAGGAGTGGCTGTTACACCAGAGGGTTGTGCTACCATGCAGGAGGACCTTGATAGGCTGAATAATTGGACAGAGATTAATCTCAGGAAGTTCAACAATGGGAAATGCGAAGTCTTACGTTGGGGTAAAAGTAACTCCAGGCACCAGTGCATGCTGAGGACTGAGCAGCTGGAGAGTAGCTCTGCAGAGAAGGACCTTAGAGTCCTTGGGGACAAGAAGTTGACCATCCATCAGCAATATGCCCTCACAATGAAGAAGGCCAACAGCATCTGCCAGCATCTCAAGGAAAGTGACCTTCCAGCACATCTAGAGTGCTGAATCCAGTTTTGCACCCAGACTGCGAGAAAGACATGGACGTATTAGAGTAAGTCAAGGGCAGGACCACAAAGATGATTAAAGGACTGAAGCATCTTTCATATGAGGAGAGGCAGAGAACTGGTACTATTTGGCCTGGAGAAGTGATGGCTCACAAGGATCTTCTCAATGTGTATAAATACCTCATGGGAGAAAATGAAGAAGAGGGAGCCAGGCTCTTTCAGTAGTGCTCAGTAACAGGACAGCAGCCAATGGAGACCAATCAAAAATATAAAAAAATAATTTTAAAATATATTTAATCTGAACACAAGAAAACATTCTTTTACTGTGAGGGTAGTCAAACACTAGAACAGGTTGTCCAGAGAGGTCGTTCAGTCTTCATCTGTGCAGAATACATAAAACCAGACTTGGAGACAGTCTTGGGAAGTCTGCGCTTACTGACCCTGCTTGAGCAAGCAGGTTGGACTAACCAGCCTAGGCAATTCTGTGACTCACATGCCACTTCTTTTGACAAAAAAACATCCACCCTTAATGTCTAATTCCTTATAAAAAAGTCTACATTGCATTCTCTTCTTGGGGTTCCTTAGCCCCCCTCATTCCATTAAAAAAAGGGGTTTCACAGTCTTGTGTTTCCAAGACCTACATGGTATTGCTGCTTCTGTAATTCATATTATTTCAAGTATCTTGTCCTCATTTGCAAAGCTGCCTCTATACCATTTCCCCCTGATCTCTTGTCATATTACTTCCTACTGCTCTGCTCTGGCAGTCTGTCCCCCTGCTCTGTTCATCTTTGTGCATCTCTGTGCATCTTAGGCATGGAATGATCTCTATCCTCTGCTTATTCAGATTCTACTTGAATAACAAGCACTGCTGTGATGGTTGGAGATAGAGCTGTAACAGCAACAAAAAGAAGCAGCGCTGCACCACATATTTATTAGTTGTAGGTACATTTCTTACTTTATCTTCTAGTTCTGGGTGTTCTTTGGAAAGCAGCTGCACCTCTTGGGATGTTTTAACACAGCAGACACTACCAGCACCATCTCCTCCTTACCAGATCCCATTAAATTCTCATGGCAACAAATCAGCATGGTAAACTGAAAGCAGTGTTGGGAGGCCTTGTAGCAGAAGACATATTGCCAAGGAGTCTCTCTCATGAAACAACTGCCTTTCTTCTGGAGATGAGAACTACATATATTTGAAGGCTAGCCTCCCTTGGGTGTTGTAGCAATAAATAGGTGTCTCCAGTTTGATTGTCTGAATGTGTGAATTGCTCTCTGCTCTTCCAAGGTTCGCAGACTGGGAAGCTGGCTTATTCAAGCTGTTAATGTCAATGTGAGTTATAGACCCTGGCGCTTAGCTTTAATTGCAGCCTGTCAAAACAAAGTCAATAGCTGCAGCATGTGTCTGTAGTGTAGATGGGCTTAAAGTGAAGGACATTGAAGTGTAAACATGTTTTCTTTGTGGGCTTCAGTCTTCATAAGCCTATTTAGTAGAACTGCTAATTGTAGCTCTAACTGCCCAAGTCAGTGTATGTGCAGTGATGTCTACAAATCTGCTGTGAGGGAGCTTCCAGGCTGACAGTAAGGGATGTGCAGGGTAGCTGCTGTGAAGCAGACAGATGCTGTGAGCTTTATGTGCCTCTCTAACCAGTTCTTTTTGACTTCTGTAACTTGCAGAGGAGTAGCAATCAGACAGAATAGCTACTGCCTTTCAGATATAGGAGTCTAGTTATAAAATACTAGGTTCTGTCTATAGCTTGAAAGTCCCTAGCCATCAGCAGGTTGACGGAACTTCTTAATTGATTTCAGCAGACTTGGACCAAACCCTAGTCGTTATGTGCTCTTACCTTCTAATTGCTGTTAAATGTTGGCAATTGTAATGAGGTCCTAGTCCTGAGGTTCCTGAGATGTGGTTCATATCCAGATGTCAGTTGTACAATGCCTTTCTTATCTGCATGCTTTCAGAGTTGGAAGGACTTGCACTTAAATTTTCTGCTCTGGAAACGTCTGTTCTACTAAATATTTAATGTCTTAAAAACATTCTGAAGGAGTCAGTAAAAATACCACTACGCCAATGCAATTATTTCCTTAATGTTGGAAGTGCAAAATCTGCAATCCCTTATTTTTGTAAACGCTTTGAAACAAGCCGGCAGAGCTTCCGCAGACCAAAATGCTGGTCGCTGCCTAACCCTGGAGCAGAGGCCTGTCGGCACCGACCCGGCCTGCTGGGCTGGGCGTTGCGGGCGCAGGAGGTTGGACCGAGGCCGCGCTCCAGACCGCATCGCACAAGCCACGCGCCCCCACGTATCGAGGGAAAGATGAGCTGTACAGTGCGACCCCCGCAGCGGCGCGACGCTCCGGGCACTGATTGGCTCGAGCCCAAGGCATCGCGCGGAGAGTTCAGCCCCGCCTCTGTCTCTCGCTGATTGGCTTTACTGCTGGGCGGTGCTCGACTCTCATTGGCATACACAGCGCCCTCCCCTTCCGCACTGATTGCTGGTGTAGGCGCATGTTCGGAGGTTGTAGCCACCCGAGTCACTATTCCTCTTGGTTCTTGTCCTCATGGCCGACCTGGAGCTCTTAGGTACTCAGCAGCAGCCGGCCACCGCTGCCGATAACGGGGCGCTGGATGGCGCCGAGGAAGATCCTGCCGCGGCTTTCCTGGCGCAGCAGGAGAACGAGATCGCAGGCATTGAGAACGACGAGGGCTACAGCATCCTGGAGAGCGGCGAGGTGCCGGCAGAGCTGCACGTTCTGGATGGCTTTGTTTCGGGTACGCGCGAAGGGAGGGATACCCCTAGTCCACCGCCCCTCCCCGTGGCGGGGGGTCCCGCGGACGGAGGCGCGGTGCCAGGCGCGAGGAGGAGAGAGGTGCTGGCAGGATAGGGCTTCGTAGCTTCACTTCTCCCTGAGGCCCAGTGACCGGGAGAGAACGGTGCTGATGGGACCCTCGCCTTGGCTTTCTGCTCCGAGCACATGCTGCTGGTGAGCAGGGCCTCGCTGTCTGGGAATGATCCCGTTATTAGGGCTGGGCAGGGCAGGTATGCCATCGTGGTCGTCCTTGGTGTGTTCTGCCTTGTGTAAATTGTATTTCAGTAGCCTGTTGAGAACACTGCAGAGTAACTCTTTTCTTCTCTAATCCAGCAGCCTGCCTGAAATGAAGATCCGCTGAAAGCAGGATAAGTCATTGTGTTGTGTTCTGCCTCTTGCGTTTCTGTCATCAGAATCAGTGATCTTAGTCTTAAAAGTATGCTAGCAGTTGAGCTAATGTTTAATTTTCTAATCCTCTAGCCTTTGTTTCTTGCTAACCTTTGTACTGAATGTGAGAAAGCTGACACTGCAGTATACACATTCTCAGGAGGGTGCATCTGTACGTTAGGAACTAAAGGTTAGTGTTTTCAGTTAGGTTATGGTAACTAAAGCAGCCCTGAATGAATACTTACAGTTATGAAACATTTCGGATTTTACGGAAGTCTAAGTTGAAAGGAGTTGTGAAAGTAGGATGATGCTGCCCTTAACTGATGGTTCAGCAGTCTTGGAAGGATTTGCTTGTACTTGCCACTGGGATTATAGGAGCCTAATTGCTCTCATATGACACCCTTATGTCACTTCAGAAAGATGCTGTTCTTCTTCAGATTGAAGTTGAATAACTTTGCTCCCCTGTTTTGTTTAAACATTTTTAGAATTAAGCTCTAATTATGCAACCTTATTTCTGAAATGACTGGCATATCTTATATATGAGGATGCAGGTTCATAGTATCTCTTGGAATAATTGAGTAATGGAGACCTTAGAGTCAGCTCATTTGTGAAGTTCAAAACATATGGACTGTATATTTCCTGTAAAAATGGTGTTTACAGGGGAGTAACTTGCTCAAGCCCTACAACATGAGGATAATCGTTATCAGAACACCATCCTGTTTTGATATTAGACATAACTTCTGTGTATAGTGCAGAAACAAACACAGTGGACACTTCCTTGCTTACTTTCAGAAGTCTCAGACAAGCATTATACCTTATATGGTCATGACATTCCAAACAGACTCTGGAACATCGAAGTAGCTGTTTGAGGACTAACTTATTTGGAGAAAGTTCTGACACTGGCCTTTCTTGCAAGGTGCTATATCCAACTATATCCATACCTTCTCTACAGGTGTGTAGTGTAGCTGTTGCAGAATGATTCTTTGGAAATATCAACTTGTTTCATACTTTTAGATTGGCTTGATATGTCAAAGTAGTTCTTCAGCTGCTTTTCAAGAGTATTTCTCAAGTTATGTACGTTCACTTGTCATGGAATGTGAAACTGTTATTGGAGAACTTTTTCTATACAGAGGGTCATAAAATAATGAATATGTTAATATGATCTAAGGATCTGATCAATCTAGTGTGATCTGTATGTCATCTTGATTTCTTATATGCTCTGGGATTTCATTTATGCTCTGGCCTGTTAAGTATGCATAGCAGATTGTGCGTGTGGACTTCTGGTGGTCCCATTTTTTTAACAGAACGTCCATTTGTTGACTGTCAGAGCCAGTACTCACTCACTCCTTGTTAAAAAGTGTGGACTGCAGCAGTGCAAAAATATTCTGGTTCAGGCATAGTGACAAATGATCTAATGACTTCTGCTGCCATTTGTGTTTAAGGTTTCTTGTCTGATTGGTATCCTAACAAATACCAGACAGCTCCAGTCTCTAGTGTGTATTAATTTGTTAAACTGTTTTGTAATTAAGTAGGTGAATGCAAATTTCTTATTGAAATAATATACATTCTTACATGGAACCTTAAGCATCATGATCAGGGATTTGTGGATTTACTTTTTTAACCTTTCTGAACTTATTTACGGGTCTTTTGGATAAGTTTTCTTTCTAAATATGCAGCCAAAAGCCATAACTCAGGCAGCTCTTAAGTGAAGCTTGAAGATCTTCAGATACTGTGAGAAGCAGTCACCAGTGTTTTGAAATACACTTGTGAGAAACATGGTGTCTCACACAACTGTTTATAAATTGCAGGCTTTTTAAAAAAGATTAGACAAATATATGGACAGTAGTGAACTCCATGAACATCAATATCTGGAACTAATGTTAGTATATATTTCTGTTAAATGTAGTAATGGTGGATACTGAATGAGTGGAGGGGTGAATGGCAGAATGTTGCCAAGCTCATGTGTTGCCTTAGCATCACTTCATAATGCCATGGTCAGGATTGGAATACTGGCCTGAATCAGTAGGCGATCTATTATGTAAATAGATATCATGTTCAAGCTTCCTGGGCATGTGAAAACTAATCTTATTTCCCTTGAAATATGAAGCATAATCACTGCTTCAGAAAACAGGAAGTACTGTATAAATCAAGTAATACAGTGCTGTTGCCTAGTTATTAGTAAGTTGGTCTTTTGTGAGATTTCCTTTTCAGTGATAAATCAATACCTGCATTTATTTACAGTTAAATTCTTTAATTCTCTCCAGTCTTACAATACTAGGTCTTCAGGTTATAGCAGTTCACTTTGTATGTCCTCTGAGCAGGAGAGAGTGAGTTCAGGTTGAAGTATATGGCTTCTAGAACCTGTTTGTCAATATAAAAACCTTGAGACAGCTTGTCAAGTAGCTTCTTATGGAGAATTACATTCAAAGACAAGCAGTTTTATATGTTAACAATCATGGAAATACTTACAAGTTTAATGCAGGCTGTCTAGTCTCAAACATTGCCTTCACAGTTTCAAGGTCTGTTACTTTTATATGAATTTGACTGAATATCATTTCTCCATCTTCTGAAGAGGCTCAAGAGCTTCTCTAGCAATTAAGAAACTTAATTGCATTCAGTGGTTTGTCCATAAACCACATTTAATAGCCTTTGAGGGACTGAGTATCTACTCACTTGAAAATGATTTAGAATTGTTTCCTCCTGTCTCTCTAGTTAACACCACAGACAGGAAGAGTTACTTGTTTGTGCCCATAGATACTTTTTCTTAATAGTTCGAACAGCCATTGTTTTCAGTTTTTCTGTGCAATCAGTATCTTGAGTTTTCAGTGCACTGTAAGGTAGCACTGAGAAAGGTATAATAAAGGAATGGTATCTGCTAAACTTGTATTTGTGGTCTCGTGGTGACAGTGCATTATTATGAAGCTCATGGCAGAAAAGCCTATTTTATTGCGTACAAAGTAAAACTACATCTGTTGGGCAATGACAAGCTCTTATGGCACAGCATTACTGCAGAGAGAGGAAGGTGTGGTCTAGTACTAGCCTACTGATTATGTTGAAAATGAAAGAACTGTAATGGGTTTTGGTATGACAGCAGGTTAGAACTAAAACACATGAAAGAAACTCTCTGACCTGCTTCCCCTTATTTTGCACACACACATGAGAATAAGTTATGGCTAGAAAAACTATTTCTTCCTCAGTTTCTTGCTTAACTATATAAACAAAAACTTCTGAGAAGATTCTTCTTTCTCATCGTCTTATGGATTGAGAGGTAGATGAAGAGGAAGCATGATTTGTGCCCTAAAGAAGAAGGATGGGAAGCTGAAGTTACTCAGCCTTAGGCGAGAATATATTAAAGTTGGTTATATTCTTTTGTTGCTTTAACTATAGCTACTAGTTCACTCAAAGTGTTAATAAAGAAGTACTTATTGTTTAAAAGAGAAGCTGAAAGTAGCTCATAAAAATACTTTTCTGTATGGTCATATTGAAGTTCATTTCTTCTGCATGAAGATACTGTTCAAAGCACACCTGGATAGGAAAACCTCAGGAGGAACAAGTCCATGTGTTAGGAGATGGTTGGACTTGGGTTAGAAGAGCTACCTCTGCAAATTCCTGCCTTTGTTCAGGTAGCTGTTGTCTTTTACGTTGAGAACAAGGCTAAGCAAACTTCCTTTTGTGGCAAGTAGTACTGAGTCTGGTATTAATGCACGTAGTTGTCTTCATAGTAGTTGATAATCATTGTGATAAACCTCTGAAGCCATTTGTTGACTTGTAGGACTGAAGTGACAAAACTGTTAGTGTATTTATCTTTGAACTACCTAGCCCTTTCTTTTGTAAACTCTAGTAAATGTGGAGGGCACTGATTCTAGCTGTCTGTTTCTGGCAAGCTTGGCTGTTGTTTCTCTCCTGAAAATGCAAGTTAGTTGATATGGCTTATCCTCTCTGAACCTTTACAGAATCTAGAAAGTGGGTGGAAGTTCATTACTACCCTATTGTCAGAATGTGTTACATAACTGTAGATGTTTGGACATGTTCTCTTCAACAGTACCCTTAGAAATAAAGCTTTATCTTAAGTTCAGAAACCAATACCAAGGAATATGGACCATTACTAATCAGAACAGTTCTAAATATGCAATGTTAACTTCATGAGCTTCAAGATGCAATAGAATAGACTCTGAAGCCAGTAGAGAGCTCTCATTGTAATGGTTGATGAAAACATGATAGCAGTAATAGGTGTTTTCCATGGGAAGTTGGGTATGAAATGACATGTTTCTGTGGACAAAAAAATCTGATACTCAACTAGCATTGATTATTGATGTGAAAGCTGGCAAGCAGATAATATTTCTAGACTTCATACTGAGTTATACAAACACTGAGATTGGAGAGCTCAAATGAGAGAATGTTTGACTATTGGTGTTGTTCCAGTTAGCATACTTGTATTGGCATATGACAGCGTGCTGGTACAGTGCGATTTCCTCTTCTGCCTGCAGTATGCTCAGTCAGCATGCTGACTCTGCATCTTAGTTCTAGGGAGCTCAAAACAGATGGGACATTTTTAATATTTTTAATGCTTCTAACGTGGGTGCCCTCTGGAAGCGCTTTGCTCTGTGGATGTTTCTTACACAGAAGAAAAGTGGCTCTAAGACAAACACATCCATTTTATCTCAGCTGCAGCCCTCAGCAGTGGTGGTGTTCTATCAACAGACTACTAGTCTGAAGACCTGAATAATATTTTTTTTTGTCTAACAAGAAAACTTAATCATATTATTACATTTCTTGGAATAATATTAAGACTTATTAGCACTTTCACCTAGTTGGTTAGTCAGTGTTTGCCAAGGAGTCTCTCTCATGAAACAACTGTGCCTTTCTTCTGGAGATGAGAACTACATATATTTGAAGGCTAGCCTCTCTTGGGTGTTGTAGCAATAAATAGGTGTCTCCAGTTTGATTGTCTGAATGTGTGAATTGCTCTCTGCTCTTCCAAGGTTCGCAGACTGGGAAGCTGGCTTATTCAAGCTGTTAATGTCAATGTGAGTTATAGACCCTGGCGCTTAGCTTTAATTGCAGCCTGTCAAAACAAAGTCAATAGCTGCAGCATGTGTCTGTAGTGTAGATGGGCTTAAAGTGAAGGACATTGAAGTGTAAACATGTTTTCTTTGTGGGCTTCAGTCTTCATAAGCCTATTTAGTAGAACTGCTAATTGTAGCTCTAACTGCCCAAGTCAGTGTATGTGCAGTGATGTCTACAAATCTGCTGTGAGGGAGCTTCCAGGCTGACAGTAAGGGATGTGCAGGGTAGCTGCTGTGAAGCAGACAGATGCTGTGAGCTTTATGTGCCTCTCTAACCAGTTCTTTTTGACTTCTGTAACTTGCAGAGGAGTAGCAATCAGACAGAATAGCTACTGCCTTTCAGATATAGGAGTCTAGTTATAAAATACTAGGTTATCTTAAATGCTGAAAAGCTAGTTTCTGTTAACTTGAGGCATCCCTTACTGAAGTCAGTAACTATGTTCTTGGAGACTAACAACTTCCAACTTAGCTACCATGTTTGAACTAATGACTTTACAATCCTCTACCTAATACAGTTAATGATTGCTGTTCAGGGCTCAGGGTTAAGGAATGCATAAAGGAGTGTGAAGAACTTTCTGTGTGCCATTAATGCTACTAGCATGAAACTGGGGCATACATATCTGCAAAGAAATAGAGGATACAGCAGCATAATGCTCTTAGGTTTAGGTGAATTAGCTATCTTATTTAAGAAGGTGCAAAATAATTTGTCTCTTTACTGTTGTGTGACTTTGGTACAGTCTCTTCCTCCACTGAAGAGTACATAAACATGGTAGAAACACTTCTGTGTCATAAATGGTGGCACACTTGAGACAAAAATAGTGATATGACTTATGTCACACAAGCAAATGCACTGTTCCGGAGAGGTGCCTTGCTGAGATTTAGCAGTTCTTGAAAATCTCTATATAAAACACACCAAGATTTAAATAGTTTCACAAACTCAAATATTTGTCTTGCAACTGACATTTGTTCCTTATGGTTGTGTTTTACTAAGGTGAAATTTTAGGGTTTTGGCGCAAAGATTCCTAGCTGATCCTGTTCCTGAGGCTATACTGCCAGTGTCACTTCAGAGGGAATAATGCTGTGTCTAAAGTAGGAGTATATCCAACATGTCATCACAGAAGGTAGCAGAAAGGTGACTTTGCTAGTAATGTTAGCTCTGTCTTTTAAGCTGATTAGGAATTAGGAGGTAGCCAACTAGGATAAGAATTACTAAGTGTTGTCTGCAGGATTGTTCCAGGGAGAGACTAGAACAGCAGGTTTCACGCTTCTGAAGTTGTCTAGTGGTCTGTCTCTAAGGCAGGGAGGAGAAAGTGGCAGTAATTTTAGGACACTGTTTGTAGCAGCTTCTCACGCGGTGTCAGCTCTGCTGTTTATGTAGCCTGAAGCATGATCTCATGATGATGAAATGACCTTGTATTACCTGTTCTGCAGAATAATGGCTCATTTGGTTTTGTGTGCCTGCAGAGAGACAAGGAAATGACCCTGCAGGGTACCAAGTAACACTGATTGTAAAGCTTTCCATACAAGTTACTGAAATCTGTAAAGCTGGTTGTTCAGTCTTTTCTCAAATGGCTAAACTGCAGTCACTTCTTTACAGGTACTGTTGATGGGGTGATTAATGGAGATGTCTATCAGGTAAGATGTACTTAGAATGTGCTGTTCTACTGAGAACTTTACCTTAATCTAGACTAATATTTCCCATTTCTTGTCTCTAATGTACTTTTATGTCCTCTCTGAAGAGGAACTTACATTCTGATTGTCTATCTCATAAAGCTGTTAATGTTCTTAATAGGCCCCTCCTCTGGATTTAAGAGGCAACTTAAAGCAGCAGTCCATTTTGAAATATGGCTTACTAGGACATAACCACTGTAAGCATTCTGTCAGGCTCTGTGATATGATTTAACATTGACTTGCCACTGCCTAATAAACTGAAAGCATGCTCTGACTACCTAGCTTAAAGCATATTTTTCTGAATTGCTTGTTCTTTAAGGATAATTCATGCATGCTGTTTGTCTTATCAAAATTGGTTTTAAAAGGAGCTGACTGAAAACATTATACACTTCTTAGTGACATAAAGTTGCAGTAAATTAAGCTGCTGGCTTAGTAGCTCACTGATGGTGTGAAAACATGGTAGTCATGGTAAAAACAAAAGGAGGAGATACTTGCTTTATTAGTGTCAAGGAGGAATTAGGCATACTAAAACAATCACTGTGTTGTAACTGAATTTCACACCAGTTTGGGTAAGGCATTACCTTTGCCTGGTATCAAAGTCAGCTAGATAGCCCAGATTAAATTAATTCTTGGGAAAGGGGCAGTGTATGAGCTTCTTCTCCATAGAGTTTTAAGTGAATGCTGAGCTTTGTGTAGAAACAAACAGCTTTCACTGCTGCTAACATTTTTATATCCTTACTATTGCTGTGAGATGGATGGGAAAACTATATCTTACTGGCCCTTTGTGCCTCCATATATAACCAAAGGTAGGTACCTTGATTTTGTGTTTGCAATTCTAAGTGGCAAGCTGTTTTGGGTGATAGAAATTCCTCTTAATGAGGAAGAACAGATTGAACGGGCTATACATAACTTTTGTTTTAGCTACCTGTAACTAGTTTGGCTGTGCAACTGGCCAGTTTATTTTGGTTTGGATTGCATGTGAAGCCTGGTGCTATTGCATCAGTGTAGCTCCTTTTCTTTGCATTGAGGGCTAGATGCAGCCAAATCTGTCATTAGCTGCAATCCATCTGGTGCTGCCAGGAGTGGTATTTCTTGGGTCTGTTAAGAGTAGAGTGAACGAATAAAAGTTGTTGGACTTGAAGTATCCTCTGTGGCAAATAGCACAATATTCATTAGCTTTGATAATCTAGTGTATTAATGATAGCCCTTTCCATTGCAAGTTCTTGAGCTATTGTATAGGAAAAGGTGTGCTAGTACTCAGACTGTTTTGATGCTTAAATTTTGAAATGCCTCCTGTGTCCTAAGCTGAATACAGCAATCAATATTTTGTAGTGTCTTTAAAGGACATTGCCTTTTAATATCAATTAAATTCTCAAATGTCTCCAGTAGACATATAAGTTACAGAGAATGTTTTAAGCTCCTACGCACAAAACTGTAAAAAAATTAAAAATAACTTTTCACAGCAAAAATTTAAGGTGAAATGAATTGGAGGATCTTTAGGCCTACAACTGCATAATGAGGTGCTGGGTATTTTTTCTGCGTTCTTCAGGTGCAGAGCTCTGGCACAGTCTGCCCAGTTGACTTGAATTTGTGTTTGATCCCTGATTGCTAGAAGCAGTCTTGTATTCATTTACTTTAATTCTGCTGCCATTTGTGTCAAGATGTTTTTTCATGTTAATGGTGGAAATGCAGTATAACATCAGATGAATGTGTTATGTGCTCAGTTCAAATAGTCTTAATTTTATGTAGCTTGCAGGCCGTTACCTGAAATATTCAGTTGTCATGCATAAATGACATTACTATTCCTTCCCTTTAAGGAGAGTAATGGTCCAACAGACTCCTGTGCTGCCATATCTCAAGTAGATCGACTGCAGTCAGAACCAGAGAGTATTCATAAGTGGAGAGAGGAGCAAAAGGAGCGCTTGGAGCATCTTGGTAAGGAGGATGTTTGTTGCAGGAGTGTTCTTGCTTGTGAGTAACTTAATGGCAGCTTCTGCAGCAGCAGAATTCTCAACTGTAGCTTCTGGCTCTTTGGAATCTAACATGCTTCTTGAGTTTGAGCAGCAAGCCTGGATGAGTTTTCCAGTAAGCAGATTTAATACTGGTGTAGGAGTCAGCAGACAAGTGGCCCTCTGAACCTTAAAAGCATTCATGTGGTCTGCCCTTTACTTACAAATAGGCTGACAGAAAATGAACAGCTTTTATCAGAAGCAAAGAGTGAATAAATACTACAGCCATCAGGATTTTTTTTCAAATTATGAAGATTGCTAATTTTGTAATTGTTGAGGACATCTGTTGTCACATGAATCTTAATCTAATACTTAAGTAATGGACTAGTAATTAGCTAAATACAGCTGTCAAATGCAGTGATACCTACCTGTGGACAGCTTCTATGAGCCTATAAACTGGTATGCTTTCCACTTATATTAGGGAGGAGGCTTTGCTTGAAACTGTTAGGATAGAACCTTCTGTACAATGTAACTCTGGGTAAAGCTCAGCCTGTTGCTGCTCTTCTGGGCTAGTTACAGCAGATGAACTTGTCCTGAACTGTAGGCTGGTTGTAAAAACATGCTGAGTGGCAGGCTTCCTCACTTTATCTAAGCACAGAGTCTTTACTGAGCTTTGTTCTAGTGCTAGCATAGCAAACTGACTGCTTCTGGTTTTGAATAGTTTGCAGGCAAACAGACTTACTGAATCTGAATTAGTCTACAAATGCCTATTCTAAACTGGAGTGTACCAGTTATGCAGTGCAGGCATCCTGTTTAGCTAATCCTCTGAATATTTAGAGTTGTCATGGTCCAAATCAGGAAGTTTACACACTGAGCCATCAGCTGAAATGTTAGCAAGATCCAAACATGACTGACAAATCAATTCTTAAATCTTCAGACATGAACTCACGAAAGCAGGAAGCAGAATGGAAGGAAAAAGCAATAAAGGAGTTAGAGGAATGGTATGCAAGGCAAGATGAAAAGCTCCAGAAAACAAAAGCCAGCAACAGGTAAGTTTCTCCAGCCATCTGAAGAGTTTCATACTGGGTATGAAAGCAACAGGGGAGAGAGATTAAAATAGTTCTAGTATGTCGTAAAGCACTAGTCCTTCAGATCATTAAAGTAACCTGTCCTACCAAGAAATGGGTCCCCAGTGGTAGATTATCTTTTTAAGTTTTCCTAGAATCTAGATTAAATGTCCAAGAATAGCAAGATAAAACATGAAGGTTATGAACCATAATTACTGAAGATTCTTTAAGACATGAAGTTTGAACGTGGCCAGAAGAAGTTTTAGTCTGCCCACTTTTTTGCATGCTCCTAGCTGCACAGGTCTTCAGTGACTGTAACTATACCTTGAGACTAGCAATCTTGGTATCTTTAGAATAAGAGGTGGAGGTGGCTTTCTAGTTAGTCTTTGCTACATGTTATTTTGTTAGGTATCATAAAACCTTTGGCTGCTCCTTTTGAAAGTGTTTGAGAAATAACCTGACTCTTCAGCTAGTGAAGAACTAAATGCTGACTGAGTCTGTGTTGGGTTTGAATTGTCTAATTATGAACCCTGGGGCAGAAACTAATGGCTTGGCTGCTAATCTAGTAAGCTCTTATACTTTCTTAGAGGTTTCTTGTGAAATTTCTACTTCAAGCTACATAAAGGTAACTATGATAGTACTGACTTGGTACCACTTAGATCTCTACTTCTGACCTAGGGTTGCCAGTGTCATTCTGTCTAGGTAATCATCAGGGCTGCTTTATACTTTGGGAACCCACAGACATCAAGATGAACAGGTTTTTTTGAAACACCATTTTTCTTATCAATATGGCCAGCAGGTTTGTCTTGAGTAAGTAAAGTCCTAAGTAGACACTACTTCTTACTAAAGGAAGAAGGGAGGCCTACATTTCCTATAGAATAACAGATTTTACACTTATATTCACTGAGGTACAGCCTCTTGGGTGGGCCAAGAAAGGGAAACAGGATTGGTAATCTTCTAGTTGGTGGCCAGAGTTCATGATAACCCCATATCTTTACTGTGGCCAGTGTTTGAGTGGCAGGGTATGCATTCTGTAGCATGGCCCATTATAACAAGTGTTGTGCAGAAGGAGTCTTTGGCATTCTCAGCAGCTTGATGAGATTTCTCTCTTAATGGTAGTTTCTGTGCACTGGAAGTAGCCTAATGTTAACATTGGGATTCTGGTCCTAAACTAGCTGGTCCCAACATCTAGGATGTAGCAGACCTTTTGTGTTGCCCCTCTGAATTTAGTTGATACATGCCATGTGGCTGATGCTTTCCTGTTACTGTAAGTGTAGGTGATACAAGGTTAATGTGCTTGTTAAAACTGCCTTCAGCTGTGTTCCATACTTCTCATCCCTATCTCTTTTCTCCTGCCTGCTTGCCTGCCTGTTGGACTACTTGCTACCTAGGGTGGCAGATGAAGCTTTCTACAAACAACCCTTCGCTGATGTGATTGGTTATGTGTATGTTGCTTAACTACTAACTGTTTGATGGTCAACTAGGTGATGAGGAGGATCAGAAATAGTGCTGAATGTCTGAAGGTGGCTTCTGAATATTTCAGGGTACTGTAAGCTAATATAAGTAAATAGCCTTTATTTTTTGCACTGACTGTGACCTGCAGTATTAAGTGCAGTTTTCCTATAAGGATCCCATACACTGCACAGCATCCAGCACTTTCTGATTACGCACCACTGGAATTTTGGTAGTTACTTCAGTATTCTTTGGATGTAGTAGTTTACAGTTGTTTTCAGGCCATATGCCTTGCTGGGTATGTGGTTTAGTGTCTGCAGTCTCACACAGATGCTGTATTTAGTCGTAGTCACTTCCACAGAGAAGCATGTTTAACTCTTCATTCTCTGTAATAGTTATTGAGCTCCTGATCTGTGCTCATTTGCCTACATAATCAGAAAAATATTGACATCTACCTGCCTTGGCTTGCAGTTTTAAGGGAATCTTGCCGTAAGTCAGGGTAGAAGAGGTGCACAGATATAGAAGTAGGATGCTATTAGAAAACAGATTGAAAGTACAAGAAGGTGGTATTGGAAAATCAGTGTTAGCTGCTGGGAGAACATTTGGGATCAGCTCTGTGCCAGCCTAGTGGATCAATGCGAGTATAGCCAAGACAAAGTATGCTAGTTTCCATGAGATAGAAGTATTGCAATGTCCATTGGCTTGTTCATGTATTTTAATTTCTTCCCTTGATTTGTAGACTTGAAAGATGCCCATGTCACAGATTCTAAGGTGACACCTTTAGAAGGTGCATTGGTGAGCCATGTTGTGGCTTTGAGTGCATTAATATTGAAGGTCCAGTGTGGCATTCATTACCTAACTTTAGGTAGATGTAAACCAAGACTTCTGAAATGATGGATTTACAGGTGGTGTTTGACTTTTCTAAAGTCTTCTGGAGTTGATTTTGACAGATTTTTTCCAATAAACCCCTTATTTTCATATACTCAATGCAAATGTGCAGTTAAGTGCTGCAGAATAAAACTGGCAGCCTGTTTCCTGCATGTAGACTAAGCTACTAGTGCATGTTCAGCCAGCTGATCATCTGCATTAAACTCATTCTCATTTTCTATATCTGACTTAAAATTTCTCTTTGTTTCTTTTCTTCTCTTCACCTTTAAGCACAAACATAAATCATCCTTGCTACAGCCTAGAACAGTTAAGTAAAAAAAATCTTCACTGCCCTTTAAAAGTGTCATGTCACATAAAGTAGCAGTGTTGTAGTGACCCTTGTCTTCAGTGGTGTCTGTATCATCGCTGTGAACAGTGCTGAACCCTCATCAGAGAGTCATCTTCATTGCTTTTTCTGTACTGCTTGTTGGAGAAGATGGATTTGGTGTGATCTCTTGATGCTTACTGCTCCTGCACTCAGGAAGCTACTAGGGCCCCACAGTTCATGTAAACTAGATGCTGGAGTGTTATCATGGCATTGAAGCAATACTGTTGGCAGCATAGCAATGCCTAAAGAATACAGCTGTGAAGTCACTGGCACTAACCTGTACATAATGTACAAAGTCTCCTTAGGGTAAGAGGAGGGGATCCATGTTTATTCCATGAGCTGACCTCTGTCAGTCTATAGCACCTGCAAGCATGGGATTCATGACTCGATTCCTTTTGATTCATGCTGCTTCGTTACATCACTGGGAATCATCAGCAGATAGTTTTATGATGGCCTATAGGCCTTGGGGCTGATATAAATCTTCAAATGGAATCTGTTTGCATGGAGTTGTAAATTTTCTATTGGCAAGTGCCATCAAGAGGCAGAGGCTTAACTAGTTAAGACTTGGACATTTTTCCATAAATAAAATGCTTGCATAGGAGTACCTTCTCGCAGTACTTCCTGGCAGTTTGTGTGGTGACTCCTTAGGCAAAGACTCAGTAACTATTCTTAAAACCAAACACCTGTGTTCCAGCATTTTACACAACAATCCTCTGCACTGCTTGTGCATAGCATACTACTGCAACCTACTTTCATCTCCAGGGTTGGAGCAGAGGGAGCTTAAGTAGCCATAATGTCTACAAGTAGCTGTCAGGTCACATTTCTTATGAAACATGCTGAAAGAAACTGCATCCTGTTAAGAGGGGAGGAGTGCCTTATATGTTGGGCATTAACACAAGGTGCATTGCATTGCTTTTAGGGCAGCTGAAGAAGCCTTTGTGAATGATGCAGAAGACATTTTTCCAGGCACTGAGTGGGAACGTGTGGCTCAGCTCTGTGACTTTAATCCCAAGTCTAGTAAGCAGGCAAAAGATGTGTCCCGCATGCGTTCAGTCCTCATCTCACTCAAGCAGGCTCCTCTCGTTCGCTAAAGGAAAGCACAGCGGAAACACTACAAATGCAGTATCCTAACCTTTATCAGAGAAGCTATGTTTGCAGTAATTGGATTAATTGTTTCAATGGGTTTTTTGGACCAAACCTCATTATGTATCTAGAGCTGATCATTGTCTGATTGCATATTCTTCCTCATGTTTCTTTTCTGTGTATGAAATGGGAGAGCCTCCAAAATTGTAGTCTCTGTGCTGTTGTGCACTGAGATGTCACTTCCCGCATTACTGATATATTAAAGATCTGTTAAACAGCAAAATGTGTTGACTTTGGATGAATTAAGGTCTCCTACCCCCTTTTGACAGGGGGTGTTTGAGTGTGAGCAAGCATTTCTTTTAATTGCTAGTGATTTCACCTTGATGAATGACCAGCCAGCAATGGTCCTGGTCTCCAAGAGTCTGTTCTGCTTGTCTCTATAAGCTTTCTTAAAGCTCTTGAGAGCTGCGCTATCCAATTTGTCACACAAGATAGAAGCTCTAGGAAACAGGAGCAGCAGGCTTGTTAAGGTGCTTACCTCACTAGCAGAACTGAGGACACTGCTTTCTGCAGGTAAGCAGTTCTGTGTAGTTTTCTGCTGTCATTCCAGCTGCACATCTTAGGATAGAAATAGAACAGAGGGCACTTGAGTAGTTAAAGGCTTTGATATCCTACTGCATATTCTAGTCTGCCCTTGTGTTCAGTGCTGGCTTCATATGCAAAGTCCTGTTGTGTAGAGGCTGTTTTTGAACTGTGTCCTTGTCCTTACTGATTCTTGCAGACACTTCTTTTCCACCAGGGTTGTAGACGGGAGATTTGGAGAGCAAGAGAAGGGAAGACTTGCTCTTACTGCTGCTCAGGGTTGGAGCTCTGTCTGCCAAGGTGTTCGAATTTGAAACAAACTGATCCAGAAATAATTTTTCTACTGCTTCCATGGCTCTTTAGTCTCACCCAGCATTCACAAGGGCTCTATTCTAGCCTTGCGCTGGTAAGACTTACCTTAGCTGTCTATCTTGTAAGAATATCTGTTCAGTCTCATACATTATTTCATCGTTTTTTATCAAAGATACAGTAGCCTAACTAGTGTGTAGCAGAATTGCTTTAATACCTTTTCTGTACAATGTGGAAGGTTAGTCCAGCCAGTTTGAAGAGGTCTGCAGATGCAGATTAAAACCTACTAAGGTTCAGGGAGTTACTGCACAGTAACTCTTACTACAGATGTGTCCCTTTGGTGGATAAGTTACTGAATAAATGGTTGCCACTTGGACTTCAATAATCTGTACCTTACTGTTGTCTATAGTGACTGGAGCTATTCTCATGTTTGCAAGTCCATTTACAAGCACTGACTGGTCATGAAAATGGTAGTAGACTACAGGTCTGGAAGCTTAATTCCATGTAAGATTAAAGCAGGAAAATATTTCCTGAACTGCAGAGGGATACGACAGGTAAGTTGAATAGGACTGAAGCACAGAGCAAGTCCATAGAATGCTGATATTATACTTGATGCTAGCCTTGATCAATTATGCATTCACCTTCACTGAAAATTTCATTTTTTTTCTACTCACCCCAAGGTTCTACAAACAAAGGCTTTTAAAAATAATTGGTAATTTAATAGAGAAAACTATACTGCATTAAATATACAATGTTTAAATTGATAATTTGAATTTACTGGGATTTGAAAGATCAGATTAGAGGGGTTCCTGTACACTAGGTTATGCAACAATCACCCCATTGTCCTATCTCATAGGACATTTTATCTGTGCTAGGGCATGGTTTCGAGCTGCAATTCAAGAAAATGGGCAAAGCAATGTTACAGAAGTTGAAGCAGTGTTTTGTAAAATGACTTTGCATGGACTTATAATGTTTCTGCAGGTTTTCTTGTGTACACCATCTAGCTGGAATACTTAACAAGCAGCTCTGTGGGTTTTGGTTACCTCCTCTAGCTCTTGTGCTGAGATTTTGTAGATTCTCTCTTCTGCCTTGATTTTATGTTCAAGTATGCTAGCTCGCTGTCTCCTTCCTACCTCCTGTATCAGTGCTGTCACAGAATTAGAGAAAGGCTGAGTTTGGAAGAGACCTCTGGAGGTCATCTGGTCCAACCTCCCTGTTCAGGCAGGGCCACCTAGAGCTGGCTGTCCAGGATCATGTTCAGATGGCTTCTGAAGATCTCCAGGGAGGGGAGACTCCACCACTTCTGGGCAGCCTATGCTAGTGTTTGGCCACCTTCAAAGTGAAAAAGTGTTCCTCCTGAACATCAGGAAACCTCCTGTGTTTATCTTTGCCCATTGATTCTTGTCCTGTAACTGGGAACCACTGAAAAGAGCCTGTCTCTGTCATATTTGTGCACATTGATGAGATTCCCCCAGGGCCTTCTCTTTTTCAGGCTGAACAGTCCCAGTTCTCCCAGCCTTTCCTCACAGGAGATATGATCTAGTTGCTTAAATCATCTTTGTAGCCCTTTGTTGGATTTTTTCAGTATGTCTGTCTGTTCTAATGGGGAGCCCAGAACTGGACCCAGCACTCCAGGTGTGGCCTCACCAGTGTTCTATTCAGACTTTCTGTGAGTGAGAATTACTTTACGTACTTAAACCTTGTTGACACTGAGCAGAAGAATACTTGGCTTTATTTAGGAAAATCTAAGCTCTTGTTTCTACTTCTGAACACTGATTTTTGTCTTGTTCAGAAGTCAGCATTTGTAAATTTGTTTTGTGACTTCATGTGACAACTGGTTTCTCTAGCCTAGTTGAGTGTACTCATTCCTCTGTTTACTGGCTTTAACTTCCAACTGTTGCTGCTTATCTCTATAGCTTGTAGCTGCTGCAGAAAACTGAATGAGTGGAATCTGGAAGAAAAATTGGACACTTTGTATCCTTCAAACAAAACTCTAGGTGTATCTGCACAAAGATCTCATGCACCATTGAGAGAGAAGCTGCAGACTCCTCCTGAATACATTCTTGTATAGAAATTGCTTTGTTTAGCTTGTGATCAGGTGGCAGCCAGCACCCTGTCAGTATGAAATGATAATGGGCATTTGTAGAGAAGAAGGGGGATGGAGAGAAGGTCATGGGTTCATTAGAAAGCAGGGACCCTGAAAACCATAGCACTGCACCTTTTTAGCTGGAGGAACACTTTTAAGTGGTCATAAACCAGCATGCTCTGGCTTGTCTGTTTCTTGCAGGTGTTTTTTGTTTTGTTTTTTTTTTTTTCTGAGCAGCTGGTAAAGTGGGAAATGTATAGTTACTGGTTTATATTTTAGAACGGACAAGGTAGGTGACTTTGCCAAAAGATAATTCCTCTAATAGTACCTGTCATGTGGGCAAGCTTGTTCATCTGCAGAACAGTTGTGCTGCAGCAATACACTGGCACTGAGTCGTAGTGTGCCTGGGGCTGCACCAGGTCTGCAGGGTTCTCAGGTATTACAAGATTACTGACAACCCAGCCCTTTGTAGTCTGACTTCATAGGGGATGGTCCATTGAAGTGTTTCGTATCTTCTAGTTTGAGAGAGGAAGGGATACTCAACACTGTTCAACATGGCAGAGTTGTATATCTTGTATCAGTAATTCAAGTTTCACTGACATTTATGTATGATTACAGTGTTGCAATGCCTTTGGCTACAGTTAGAAGCAAACATTTAATCTTGTGCTGTTTACTGGTCACAGCTGATCACCATGTGCAGAAATTTTACCCAGCTGAAGGTATGAGGTGTAGATGAGGTTAAAATCTTAACAGCTTTTTAAAAAGTGCTGTATCCTGTGAGGAACTGAAGGAGTTAATGCCTCAAACATTCAGTGACACAGAAAGTCTCAAGGACAAACTGTGGCCTTTGTGGTTAGTCTAAGGAATGAATTATCTGTCTAGGGAAGCACAGAGTGTATCAAAGGGTGCATGGTTCTGCTTCCTTGCAGTTGTATGGCCAAATTACCTTGATAAACCATGAAGGGAGGAGACATAGTCTGAGCAAAACTGTGTCAGGTTAATGCCTACACTTTAATTTATGACTACAGCCTTGAAGAAGAGCTAAGAGAGAAAACACCTGGCACCAGATCAAGCTAAAGACTGGATAGTTGCCAAGAAGTAAAAACAGACGAAAAGGTAAAGGTGGTAGGGGGACACAATGACCACTGAACTCAACTGGACAGAAGGATTAATGCACCCTATTTGCCCTCAGTGCTCCATCTTTTCCCTGTCTCATGCAAATGAGTTCATGGAATACCTGCTTCTCTTTGTCTACTATGCAAATCAGCTGCTAAGGTGAACTTAAAAAGGTGACAGAAAATTTTACTGGGTGTGCACCCACCACCCAAGATCACTGGACCTGAGACAACACTGGAACCTGGCATGGTGATCTGGATTCTTTGACTCTTTCTTTCCCTTTTCTTTCACTTCCTTCCTTTTGTTTCTTACAGATTTATCAATAAGAGACTACATTGCTTATTATCCTTTTCCAAGTTTAAGTTGTCTCTACTGCAAGTATTTTAACTGGTTGTTTGGTGTCATTTCACCTTCATTTATACCTGAGGGTATGACTCTCTGGGCTCCCAATCTGGGTCATAACAATCCATCCTTACTGCATGGTTGTGAAATTGAAAGTAAAAGAACCTTGAAAAAATCAGGCTCTTTCTTTATAATTTTACCTTAAATACAGTCTTCATACACTTTCTATTTAATTAATTACAAATTTGGCATTTTATCTGCATTTAAAAATTCTATACAATGTGCTTCATACAAAAAAAGTGGAAGACTTACTATTCAGAACATCTGCACATACAAAGTTACAGCAATGGTGGTCTAATAGTACAAGCAAGGCAAAAGTGGTGTGATGTGTTACCTCTTTTTTTGATGAAGGGACAAAATGTGTTTCCAAGCATGCAAAGATTTCTTCATCTAGCAGTAACAGCTTGACAGTAATTTGTGATTTGTTTGGGATACAACTGCTAATCTGTTGAGGTCAGAATGAGGGCTGTGAACCCCAAAACTTTCCTCAGTTATGACAACAGCAGAAAGAACAGGCTCTATTACTTGTCTTCTCATTGTCTTGCTTAATCTGAAAAAGCAGGCATCTTTGACTTTATACCAAACTGCAGTGTACAAGCAGTGAGTGGTTTGGGCACCACAGCAAAGTATAGGGTTTGATCTTTTTTTTTTGTGAACTTGCCAGATGAACCAACCCAGAAGTGCTACAGCTCTATATGCAAACTTAAGCAAGGCTTCAGAATCTCATGAGCATTTTTTAGTTGATACTAACACATTATGTGTCCACAGTGCAAACCATCTGCTTTCAGATTACAAAGCAAACATAGCTTGGTGCTACATTAAGCCAACTATATACTAAATACATGGTTTTAGCACCTACACATCAGCTGTCAAAGCACTAGTTGTAATGTGCTTTTGATAAATCATTTTCCAAATGCAATTATCTGGAATGGTCTGTCCAAGGGGTATACAGTCCAGGTGTTTTGCCCTTACTAATGCCTGTACACTCTCCACAGAATTTAAAAGGGACACAGCAATCAGATGCAGATTGAATCTGAGTATAAACTCTGTCTGTACCTTAGTGCCTGTGTTTTTATGCTACAAACTTGAGATGTTTCTGATTTTTGTTCCCCCTAGGACTAGACAGAAGTGGGAGCTAGTGTCCATAAAAACTCTGGTCCATGATAAAGTCCTGAACAGGGTAGGAAAGAGAAACAAACAAAATCACTATTATGTTATTAAATAAGAGTTTTTATTCTTTCTGACTGCATAAACCCACAAACTTCTCAAGAAACACTGCAAGGACTTCTGGAACAGGTTCTTGTCTAGTTGATGGAAAAAAATTCTTCAAAAACATTTGAAGAATCATTTTAACAGGACTAGACATTAAAGGTGTTGAGAGTATAGCTTTTCAAATGTGTTTTAGCCTTTCATGTTTTTTCTATGCCTGCACTATCCCTTCAGCTCCTAGGGAAGAACATGACTGGAGTCTAAGATATCAAAAATACAGAGCTTCAGGAGGTCTGGAAAGCAAAAGCCTGGTCCCACTCTTAGTCAAGCATTCCTTGTGATGGTAGAGGATGAAAAGATCAAATGACAGGGCTGTTGGAACCTCAATCCTGTTACTCCTGACACAAGCTACAATCACCATACAGCAAAGGTGATTTCCCCTTGACCAGCTCAAGGAGCTACTGCTCTGGTATTGAAGGTAGTGGAAATCACCAAGTAAACCACAACACATAGAATGATGAACTAAGAACCCCAGTGACATAAAGCCTGCTATAACTTTGCAACTGGTTAAGAGCCAGTAGTTGCTGATTCCAATAAAAACTATAGTATAGAGGCTGTACCATTATTCCTGAAGACATCAGGAAGGAGATCTGATGGTGTTTCTAAAATCTGTTGTGAAAAAGTGACTTCTCAGTAAGCATTCCTTGTAAAAGAGAGAATGAAGTGAAGGCAACTTGTGTAGATTATATGCCAGACTTAGCCAGTACAGTGGTTCAGTATACTAACAGCTGTTCAGTCTCAGATTATTGTACAGAAAAGGCAGTGGTTGTAGAATATTGTTTCATTTTGGTTGGAGAAGTTCAAGAGTGGAAATAGCCCCTTTTATTCCCCTGTACTAGTACATTACTGGGCTTCTCAGAATACATGTCAAAATAGGCCATTAAATGCAGGACAGAGGATGGTCATATGGCTGTTCCTCCACAAGTATCTTCTTTTTGGGATAGCTGAACAGTTAGATGGGTCTATTTTTCAGTTTTTCCTTCTGTCAAATATTTATTAATACAGTATCTTTAAAGTGTGCCATATATCAAGAAGAGTTAGTTAAAGAAACAAACCACAGTTTACCTAGGCAAGCCTTCATTGGTATTTGACACACTTTGCTCCCAGGTTTCTGAATGTCTTGAAGATGAGGATGAGGCTCAGATTTGACTTTCCATCCTGTGAGCTGATGGTGAATGCAGGACAAGAACAGTGTATCTGCAACCACCAGAACTGCTGAGGAGATGCACTGTGTCACTCTGCAGTGGAAGATTTTCTTGAAAGGTAGAATCTTTACGATCAGATGTGCCATGTAGTTGAAATTCATCTAACCGGCTACCAATGAATAAACAGTCCTCCATCTGGTCATTTGGCAGACAATATAAGACTAAGTCCCTTAAAACACCAAACAATAAAATTCAAATAATTTACTTTTGGCCATAGCCAGAAGACAAAGATCCTCACTGCTACACTTGTTGATTTGTTTGGATTGCTCTGTAGGCTGTAAGCTCACTAGGCCATAGTCTTTTTCCTTCATATGCAAAGCTTGTAAGATGGGACTCTGCCCTCTAAAGATGATGTAATAAATTACTGCCTCCACACTAAGTCCTTCATGAACCACAATTTCTAGATGCAGCCTTTTAGACTGTCGAGGCAACTTTCCTTATTTCCACCCACTAAAATTACTGCCTGCAATTGGTGATTACATTATTTACTTTGTTGATAGAAGGGTGGAAACTGAAAAGCTGGTCATATTGTAGACTTCTCATTTTACATAGGCTGGAAATGAGATATGGATCCCAAAGTGTTAGCTATAATTTGACACACCATACATCAAGATTTGCTTATAAATAGTTCAGCTACACTTAAAGCAACATAAGGGCTTACTGATAGAGGTGATTATTAAAACCAGAACTGCAAATCAGGTCCTAAAAAGTCAGATGAAATTTAGGAAAAATACAAAAAGATAATACCTCAATTAGGAAATGCGTAAGTCACCACTAATTATTCAGATCACTACTTGATTCAGCAACTACTGTCAAAGACAAATTTGGGGCAAAGTATTCCCTCCACCCATTGAGAATTTGCATAGTCCATTTCTATAATTCTTCTAGGTACCTAGTATATTCTACGTGTAGTATAATCCAGTACCAGACTGGCAGCTCCAAGAAGAGCAGGATCTGCTAGATTTGAGACCACCACATCCACAGTTTTAACAGAGGACAGAGCCTGTTGATTTATCACATCTTTGACAGCATTAACATAGTGGCTAGCTAGAACTCCAGAAAGGATCACAAGAGAGGGGTTCATGGTGTGCAGAATGTTCACAACTCCAAGGCCTAATGCTGTCCCAGCTGAAAAGATAAAGTAAAAAGAAATTAAGTAGAATACTCAATGCAGTCGAGGAATCAGTAGTTGAAATATGTCTGTTTGTTAGCAGCAAAAGACACTGTCAGCAAAGTGTTCTATTCCATATGGCACAGTTTTGAGTTTATGTTATCGGACAGTATGAGTTCACCATTAATTTTTCTTTCAAAAGTAAAATAAAAGGCAATTTTATTGCACAGTAATGTGTAATCCGATGATATGGATGTGAAAGACAAAGCAATGCATTACCACACTTGTAAACTAAGAGAAAATAGGAAAGCATTACTCTACCACCCTAGCGGTATCAGCTGCATATGGGGAAAAGGACTGTGTTGAAAGCTAGTAAAACAGTAAAATATGACAAGTAATATGTAAATTGTCTTTGCTTGCTCAGGCTAGCCATTCACCTGCCTACAATTAAATATGCCTAAATTCTCCAATATGAGTGTTGAGACCTCACTATTTTTAAAACTGATGTTTTCATCTCATTCTCATTTATTGGTATGGAGACCTTTAATACACACTTCTGCTCACATTTTCTCCCGTATTTATATTTAACATTTCATTACCATTACTAAATTTTATATAAAGATGTTCTCGATGTGTAGAGTTGTGTTTGTAGGGTTACAGTGCACTACCATTTCTGTATCTCCAAAAATATAATCCTGGGAGTGTTCCATCCTTTGGTCTACATTCTCACCTGTTCTGAGAATGCTGTCTGCTTTTGTGTTCCCAAGTTTAGCTGCTTGAATGAGATGTGCAGCACTAACAACCTCCTCCTTCTTCATTGACATTCCTTCTACTAAAAGCAGATCCTCTGTTTGAAGAAGAGAAAAAGCCAAGAGAAAAACATGGTGATGTGGTAAGTCAAGAAATGGAGGGTGACAAACAGGTAGTTAAAATGTTTACATCTTACTTGCAAGCTGAATCCAGAGCAACCTGTCCAACCCTGAGTTTAGCCAAAGCAGTCATATTCATATTATTTAGGGAACTACTTGCAGAAGTAGGACAAACTCAGCTCTAGTATGGTAATCCACTAGTCTTGTCAGCTCCAAAAGTTAATAAAATAAAATATGAATGTTCTCAAACTTATCTAAGACCGAGAAGCTGTTGCTGAAAGACAATCCTTGTGAAACCAAACCTTACAGAATGCCTGTCAGATTACCTTACAGCACATTTAAAAAGGAGACACTAAACTCTACTACTGCTTCTAATTACTCTGAGACCAGTGGTTCCAAATGTGGTTTGCCCTGGGTATTGCTATCAGTGAAAGAGAATTGTATTGTGCTATGGTGGTTTCTGGGTTAGACATAGACAGGTATTCTATCTGGTTGCCTGTAAACCTATTCTCATCTCCTCCTAGAAAAAAGATGGTAGGTCTATTTTTCTTAACATCATCTTTACTAAATTGCAGTATTGGAAGAAATTTGCAATATTCTGGTCAAAATAAAGTACATAGATACCGTCATGCAGTTTCTTAGCTTCTCTCTGTAAAGCTATTCCAGAGGCATATGCTTCTATACATCCTTGGCTACCACACAGGCACTCTGGTCCATCTAGAGATACAACGATATGCCCAAGCTCAGCAGCACAGAAAGAACTGCCATGGATCAATTCATGCTGATGAATGATTCCGCCTCCAATTCCTGCAAAGATGTGAAAATTTCTACAGTTAAAGAAACCTCAAACAAACCCAAGCCAAACAGTTTTTAAAAGGCCCCAGTTCTGCAGACATTGGCATTTGCTTATGCTGTGACAGAAGAGATATGTGCATCAATGTTCTTCTATCTGGAAACCAAAAATTACTGGTTATTGAAGAACACTTTGACACACCTACTAAGAAAGCTTATATCCCCCTCCTATTCACGTATGTATCAAAATGGTATATAATGCTTTTCCTTTCTTAAAAAGGCTTATGGGTGGTACTGAACTACTAGGACATATTTTTTATGCTTTTGAGTTATACTCTTTATGCACAAACCTAACCTTTCAAGTGGCCTTAGAATTCTGCATTTCAGAGGAGCTGTTTTAATGTTGTATTTAGACAGCTAAACTTGTGTACTAAAGAGCCAGGACACTTAGATCTGCAATCCTCTGCTGCCCCTTCTCTAACCCTAGGTGGGGATCCATCAGCTAGTCATTACTGTCACCATTCTAAATGACTATATACTTAACAAATGAGAAAAGTTACCCCACATGTGCATTTGAGATATAAGAATCATGTTTCATATTCAGTTGCTTATCTTCCAGATAGATTCCCTGATCTGACTTCTATTTCTGCAGCTGAAAGAGAATTAAGCTATAAAGCTGGAAAAAGCAAAATTATTCCAGCTAAAGTTGCTCAGATTTTCCTAATTTAAAAAAAAAAAAATTGTTTGCCTTATAGCTGTATCAGCAGAATTTCTTTTATCAAGATGCTTATGCTATGCAAATTTTTCACTTGCCTGAATAAGTTAAAAAGTACCCTAAAAGAAACAAACAGTTATAGTGGCAAAAGAATTTTTAGTTTAAGAACCTAGTGTATTAAGGTTTTCCAGGCACAGTGGTGGTGTTTATGCTTTTAACATCGGGTGATCCTCTGAGTGATGGTGCTGCTATTTTGACTCTGGGTTTCATTGCACTCTTAACATACTGTGCTGGTTTAAGCCTTGCTGGGATCAGAGAGCACACTGCCGTTGCCCCTCCCCCACCCGCGCCGGTCAGGCTGGAAGTTAGACACAGACCCTGGCTAAAATAACAAGAAATTTAATACAACAGAGTGATAAAACAATCTGAACAACAGTATCAATGGTAACAACAATAAACAGCAATAACAGTGAACAAGACAAACGATATACAGAGAAATACCGATAGCTGGTCTACGGAAAGAAAGGTTCCCCACCAAGCCCGCCAAAGAGCAAGGAAAGGTTCCGCCCCTGGACCTGACGTCAGCATGGTATGAATAACCCAGCTGGAGTTCCCTTCCCCTTCTCTCTGCTGGGGAAAACTTGACTCTATCCTAGCTGAAACAGGACACATACCCACCTGTACCAGTAATGAGCGTTACAAAGTTTTCTATTCCTTTTCCATGACCAAATTTCCTCTCTGCTAGAGCAGCACAATTTCCATCATTGTCCACCCAGACTGGCAGGTGCAGAACATCAGATATTGGAGTTCTGAGATCCACAGAACTCCACTCCTGAATGAGTTTTGTAGAGTGAAGCACAATTCCTTCTCGGGGGTTTACCCGTCCACCTGTAGAAACGCCTAAGTCCCAGAAATATAGAAGACAAAAGTCAAAACTATGTTCATATAGTACTTTTAAGTAAAACATGTTTTTCTCTTTGCAATGACAAGTATTTTTATTTCTACAAATAGGCTTTGAAGCAGAGCATGAAAATAAAAATTATTGAGTATTACTGGCATTGCAATTTCTTACATGTGAAGATAATTTATAGAACTCCATTGGTCTAATCACAATGCACCCAGTAACTTAACTCGATGAGTAATGGTTAGGGTTAATGTTCCTACTTCAGGCAAGACTGCAGCAAATCACTTAATACTTGTGTTTATAGTCATTTATGAAAGACATACGGTAGCAAACTGTATAAAATTGGTTCAAACCCTGAAACTGTAGAATTATTGTGAAATTTGCTGCAACTCTCAAGATTTATAAAAATAATCACTGGATTATTTTAATCACTGATAAAAATAATCAATGGACTTTGAGTAGTGATTTCTATTTAAAAATAGTTTTCCAGAAAAATCAAGACTGTATTGAGAGATTTGACTATGGAACAGAGTAACTGCTAATAGTTTTCTCTAGCTGAAGAGGCTCCCAAAGTTGATGGACTCTTTCAGGACCTTTGAAAAGTAGGCCACTATTATGTAGGTATTTGGCTCTAGACAACAAAGTTTTGAACATTTGATCTATTACAGAAATTATATAATTGTGTCACTTCCCTAAAGATGTTCAGAAAAAAAGGGTCCTAATGTTAACATTATAGTAGAAAGCAGCCATAAAAACTACAAGACTACTGAAGTGAACTAAAAAAATACTGAATTGAACATTAAAGCTGTAGGACCCTAACCTCAGTTTGTAAAGAACAAATATCTGAGAACCTGTCAGCAAGTACGTTAATAGGAATGACATCCCCAATGTCAATCGGTGAAGGTCTCCCTAGGATTTAAAAAAACCAATGTTTATTACAACAAAACCTTATTTATTTATTACTTGGTACCTAACTCAGCAGTAACTTACTAGAACATGTCTACTTTTTCTAAATGGCATAATTTGGTAATTTATGTAAACAACTGTGGGAATTAGCAGAAGCTATCTCTTTATCCTCTTCTCTCTAGTGTCAGCTCCAGAAAGATAACTTAAATGCTGCCTAATAGCAGTAAATAGATAGCTCTACCAGGTACCTCTATGAAATGTTTGTGCATACATCTGGGCATCCTTTGGTTTAAAATTTGTGAAAAGTGTAACAGCTGCTAGTGTTCTTCGGCCCTGATAGTCTTTACTTTTCCCTCATTTTTATCAAACAATTTTTAATATAAATGCCTTGTTTTGAGCGGAAAAAAAAGCACAAAAATAACAAAATCAAAACTAGCTGCAGAGCTGTTGCAATCTGGACTTATTTATCATCAAGACAAAAAGTTGTTGAAAATGATGCTTTTTTTTTTTCCCCCAGAGTCCTAATTTTTAATCACTCTGCAAACCTGTTTTGTATTAATGGGAGTTCTTCAACAGAAGTTATGCTCATATAGGTAGTATTCTGAGTGCTGACAGCAGTTTATAGAACTAAAAGGAGAAAACACTTTTTTTCATTGCTTTCTGTTAGTAGCTCTTTCTCCATATTAATTTCTTATTACTTTTACACTTATATATGATATCTGGAAGGACAGTGTTACTGATAAAAAGTCCAGGATTAAGTTCAGCCTTTCAGCTCAGTCTTGCAAAAATTTCTGCAAAGTTACATGAATTCTCCATTTTATGGATTATTAGCCTTAAGGAAGTTACTAGAATCTATTACATTAATTATTCCCATAGGAATTATATATTCATTCTCTAAAGAGAACTATCAATTTCATCTAGTATTCTTAATCCAACTATGAGTCTGAATGGCAAAAAGAGCAGCTAAGAAAAACAGCCAGGTAAGAAATTTCTTATTCTGTAGCACAGCTTTTGCTCTCATTACTCAGTAATTGAACAGTAAGCAATCAGTCACAGAAGGAAGGGGTCTGAAGAATAAATAGGAATGTAATTCTTGTAAAAGGACAAACAAAAGGTGAGGTTTTTCCCCCATATACAAACCTCTGGTTTCATTATCCTAACAAAGATAGCTGACTGTAAACTTTCTTAGAACTTGCAATAGTGACTGCTGCAGAATTTACCATCTTTTCTACAGGAACTATGAGACTTTCAAAGATTTAGCCTCTGAGCACAATAAAATTAACTGGGTGGTTATGTGTACTGCCCAGCAGATAGTCTGAAAGATGTGATTTGAAGGTCTGACATTTTTATTCTTATGGCTTTGTGTACTTAACACTGTTCTGAATAATACTTCTAAAAAGTTCAGATTAACTTTTCTTCATTCTCTGTGTTTCAAGTAAATTTTGGTCTGGAGCAAACTCATTTACTTTTGGAGCATTTCACAACTAAAATTAGGATTTTATGTCCTTCTAAAAATCCAGGACACATGAATTGACACCTGCATAAATAATTGTAATGTCTAGGCCCCAATTTCCCACTAAACTGAAGAAGTCCTGTCTGTATAAACAAATAGTTTAATTTGGAACTCTAGTACAGTATAAGTAAACCGGAAATCAACAAAAAGTCTGCTCTTGTTTGTTACCTGCAAATTTAATTTAACATTTTAGCCTTTTTTACTCTGCTCTACTGTAACTGAGAATTCTGTTTCACAGTTTATCCTGGCCATAAAGAAAGGCTTACAGACAGTATAAGAAACTTTGCTCAGCCGCAGTTGTTTGAAGAGCCATTTCAATATACACCAAGCATCTGACTTACAATTCTGAGACTGCAGGGAGCTTCAAAGTCCACAAAATCCATACACGACACATTTTAGACATAATTTAGATATAACTTAGCAGATTCCTTTTGTGTTTGTTACAGATTGGGACAACTTCAGTCTTTATAGTCAGCTTCTTATTTTCAGACATTTAAAAAAGTTTTAGTGTTAAGGATATAATTTAAGAGCTTAAAATACACAAAATCTGTTTTACGAAGGTGTTTTAAATTAATTGGTAGTGATTTCATTTCATGTTGGAAAAAACCCAAAGTTATTATTTGTTAACTTACCTACTCCCAAAATTCTGCAGTTCACGTTTACTGCCTCTGATGCAGCCTCTACACACATCTTTAGAATTAATTCTAGTCTGTCTTCATAAGTTTTAGGGTTGAGCTGGGTATACTTCTTAACTATTTCACCCTAGAAATTAAAAACAACATAACATGCTCCACAGAAATGTACTTCATGATGAAACTTCACTTTAAAAATGGAGAGTCATAACTCTTAAAAAACCCCAAAACAGATGCATGCCTTAGATCTTGGTCCTACAGACTGTTCTGTGCAAGATTCCTGACAACTCTCTGGGACAAGTTTGCAAGACGATGCATTACATTCTGCTTCTGTAATCAATCTCCCCGGACTGAAATAAAATACGTATTTTAAGGAACACATGGATCATGTAAGGAAGTATCACAGGAGCTACTGGAACTGTTGTTATGAGTAAACCATGATACAACAATGCACTTGAGCTAAACACTAAAAAAAAAAAAAAAGAGAGCGCAGCAATTGCCGAAAAGGACAAAAACGCCATCGTGCTCTAAGAATAAAATGTTTCCAATTCAACTACATGAAAATTTTGCATGCTGTCACAGAGACTGCTATTTTACCAGCAGGAGAGTCAGCCAGATAGGAATTCTGGAAATTTCAGTGTCAAGATTACTATCCTTTCAGAAATAACTTTTCTTCTAATCACTACTGAGTCACTTGAAATATTTCTGGAGTACCATCTACTGTGATGTATCTTGTATGGGGGAGGGAGAGCCCAGGAAAAAGGGATCATTTTCAACCCTAGGAGTCATGCAGTGGTAATGAAAGAATTCACTGTGCGTGCCTGAATCTGTGGGTACTAAGGAACTAATCTTAATGTAATGTTAATATTGCAGGATTAGGCCAGGAAACTGTGGAAGATATGCTGTTTAGCGATGTTATTCTCTCTATTATATCCCCCTGTACTCTACAAAGTAAACACCATTGGATTAATACAACTGAGCAAAAAGGAGTAACAAAGACAATCTAGATCCAACACGGCTGATTCATTGTTGCCAAAGTAACTTAGAGAAGTCCAAGATGTCAGTGGTTTGAATATTAGATCTCATCATTTCAGCATCATGTCAGCAATAGTTTGGCAATTTTTATGTTTAGTTTCCTCTTCACTTTTGGTTTGGAGTGGGAGGGAAATCAGAGGAAGTTACTTTGGAAGACTAGGCTGCAGCAAACATTATCAGAGGACAGAACAGCTTTTAAAAGGAGCTTTTCAAAACTCATTTTCTTAATGAAAACTAGACCTTTAATTCTGCCATCTTCTGTTAAATGCTTACATCTACTGTATAAGTTTTATTATGTAATTCTGATCCTTTCCACTCTGATTTGCTAATGTTTCAACTTTCATAAATGCCACTTCAAGCTACACTGTGTAAAATGGACAGGATTTTTAATTTTTTTTCCCCCCCAGGCTCTGTTGGTAGAAAACTGTGGTGTCAATTTTACATCCAAAAAATTATACTGTTAGAAGTTGACTGTAAGACCTTAAAGATCTGCCAGACATCTCCTTTTAAATGAATGAAAAAATTATAGACCATACCAGGTCCATTTATGTAGCCCCTCACCTTTCTGCAGGCAAATTTTCTTTCTGGGTCACTATATCTAACACATGTGTTTATCTGGAAGTATACAGTATAACTGTAGGAGTAACTGTCCAATACTGTTGGGAATAAAAGCCAGAGACTCCTCAACATGAGTTTTATTCACATCTTTAAAGTGCTGCAGATTTCAGGACTTCTATGGGTTTTTTTCCCCCTCCAAACAGGAAGACAGGTGTCTAAATGAATCAGAATTCTTCAGTCCCAACTATCCTTTCATTTATCAACCTGGATAAGAATTTTTTCAAATATTTTTACACCAGGTATTTTTTATCCCATAAGCTTGAAGCTCACAAGTTTAAATAGCAATTTTGTGGGTTTTCCGTTGTTCTGGATAATTAGCTGATAGTCATAGGTGTATTTACTTGTTTCACTTTAAGATGCCATTGCAGGTGATTTGGCATCAAACTGATACTGATGCCATTTTGGTAGCCTCACCTGCTGTTTTTAAGACATTGGATTTTGTTGTGTTTGCCAAGCATGGACTTTTCATCTTTTCAAGTTAGCTGACTGGCTAACTAAGCTATGCAAGCAGTGCATACTTACTAGTGCTATGACACAGGCAAAGGAAAACTTCCAACTGTGCCATTACCAGAGAAATGGGTTGAGGAATTTCAAAGAATAGAGACCATTCGATCACACAGTATTCCTAAACCTGAACATCAACATACATCCTTTACAAGGGCTGTAACTTCCAGCCTATTTCAAATAAGTTACTTCCACAGGAAGAGAGACACTTCAGACTCAAAACTCCCTCAGTCTTTAAACTCTCTACAAATTCTAGTGTATGTATCAAATGCTGTTTATTCTGATTATAGTATAAACCATCAAGCACCACCTCTTTTCATACATTAAAGAACACAGCACAATTTAAAAAAAACCCCACAGAATCATCTAGGTTGGAAAAGACCTTGGAAGATCATCCAGTCCAACCATTAACCTAACACTGACAGTTCCCAACTACACCATATCCCTAAGCGCTATGTCGACCCTACTCTTAAACACCTCCAGGGATGGGTACTTCACACCTCCCTGGGCAGCCCAAACCCTGATAGGAATATGAGATCATCATACAACTCAAATCCACCACCCTTTTCCAATGAAAGATCAAGAAACTAATTCAGCTGGTTTTAAGAAATCTTTTTTAACCAGTTCCTACTATTTAGCAATGAAGATACCATACCCTTCCAGACTATCTATTCCAGCATTCCCTTGCATTTTTAGCAAATGTACTTTGCTAGCTTAACAGCAGTCTCAGAAAAGCAAACCAGCAGGCAAGTTATATCAAGACTGTATTAAAGGTGCAACAAGTGAGGAAAAAAAATCTACTTTACCCCTCTACAGCAAGAGCCAGTGGGACTGCTTTGTGTTGGAGCTCTTTGGCATCACAAGCCCATATCCCCACTGTAGGAACAGAACCACAAAGCCCAACAGAATATCTAAAAGCACAACAGAATATTTACCTTCATACTGACGATTGCTACTCGGAGATTTGTTCCACCCAGGTCCACAGCCAGAGCACTCTGTGTCTCTAGAATATGGTCAATATCTTGTGAAATACTATCTTTGACAGGAGGAAAACAGAATTTCTTTTGCAATGGCTCTTTAAGATCAATAGACTTAAGGAACTTCAAAATTCTTGGAACTGCATTACCATCTCCATATATTTTTGAGCTAGAATATGAAAAAAAACCCCATTTAATTGGAAATAACACTGCAGTGTATAAGTTCTTTATACGAAAGAAGGCTGTAACACTGTGTCATTACAAAATCACGATATGGCTACTACAACAATACTGCAGCTCACACTACGTGAGTCTGTCATGGGATATTGTAGATAGTATCAGTAGTTTGAAGATCACGCAACAGATAGTGCAAGCTTGACATTAGCTCCATTTTGGAATATGAAACATGAAATGTAGAAAACTGGAAAGTTCATGATGCCAAAAAACATAAAATATTAAAAGTTTAATGAAAGTACTCATATAATAAAGCTCTAGCTCTAACATATGGAAAGTTTAAGTATGTGAAACAAGATGTACTTAACACAGATGACAACTGCACAGTAATAAACTGTACATACATGTCAATTTTCAACATATAAGTCTGTTTTTAAAATATCATCATACAAGGTGTCAGACATTTGGCATTACATGATTCAGTTTTTTTTACTCTGTTGATGTTCTTAAGAAATATACTTTTGATTGTTGTCCTTAATTAGATAAATACCTCTTCAAGTTTGTAAGAACTTAAATGTTAAAAGAACAGAGGGTAGATACTGTATGGCTGAAGAAAAACAGAAAAGCATCTTGCTATAATCCTGAAGCTTCCCCGGAAGTTTGCACTCAGGACTCTATATGTGTCATGCCTGAGGTCAATCCAGCTATGAAGTAGCGTGTCCTTTCAGGCACAAGTCAGGGGTAGGCTGACAGACTGTTTGCCCCTATGCTGTTCCTATGGAACAAGCTCTCTTAATTATGCTAGTCTAAGCTAACATAGAATTTTGTGTTCTTTTGGATATTAAATTACTAGTTATATCAAAACATTACTAGTATTTGTAGAACAAAATGTTACTAATCTGTATACCAGATATGGCACTATGATTCTGAATGAGGTATGTGAAATGAAAAATAATTTGTAACCTCACATTAGATTATTAAAAGCACTCCAGATACAACGATCCATCTCAGGACTAAATGCCTTTTACTCTACTGCTTTAACATCCCCTCCAATGAAGCAAGATTTATACACTTACCATGGATACTGTTTACCAAACTGCAGGTGTAGAGCATGCAGAATCTTATCCTGGGTATCAGCATCACGAACATGAAGAACATTTTCACCTAGATGACAAAAGTTAACATAACAGGACAGGTCAGCTCCTCAAATTACATTAGAGGATAAGAAATGCTTTAGAGATGAAGAAAAAATTATTTTTTATCTCCTCTAAGCAGAAAAGACTCCAGCCAGATCAACGTCACTTTTCATCAGTTATGTGCATCCTCTTGCTCCCAGTAAAGCAGTGGTGACTCCTGTGATATGCTGTCATGCATTATGAAACACTAGAGAGTAGCATATTAGCCTTCAACAGAATCCTATTACTAAATTAAAAATGCATAAATGAAAACGGAGAGTAAATGGCTATATACCTGCGTATCTGTGAAACACTAATACAGTTAGTTCCTGAAGTGGTGAAAAGTTTTTGTTTTTTAAAGTGAAATTTCAATACATGTCAAACACCCAACTAGCTGTAAAGGAAAACAATTAGTTGTCTATTCTGCTAATGAAATCCACTGCAAATGGAGATGTATTTTAACTTTTTTACAGATGCAAACCTCATTATCTTACATAAACACACAAGCAGCACTATCAATACAGGACTAACCAGTGAAGCTTTAAAATTGCACTGATACTGCAAGATGGCCTCTGTCAAGCATTCATTTGACTTGGAAGAAAAAACCTCAGAACCATGAGGAAATTGAAAGTTAAGCAAACGTGTACCTGTTTCTCTTCCTGTCTGACGTGTCCCCAAGTTAATAACTGGCGTACCGAATGCTCCCACCTCTCTGACACCACAACTGCTGTTGCCAATCATACAACCAGCATGAGCAACTAACTGAATGAACTGGTCAAACGGGACATGCTTTACAGCCCGAAAATTAGGATGGTGTTCAATGCCCTTCTTCCTCATCACCCGAACCATCTCTTTGCTTCCTACAGAAAAACAAGATATAGAATAAATGATTGTTAAACTGAAAGTCCAAACATGCAAAGGACTGACTAACAGCTGTCCATTGAATTGCCAGCTCTTTTTGTTCTCTTTTTACCCTCACAGTATAAATCGCAGAGCTGGGCACTTAAGCCCAAATTTGACCCCAAAAACCACTGCAAAAATCTTTATGTAGCTTTTAGTTTATTTAATAGGCATTGATACTGCTTTTACATGTCGCATGGTTTCCCTTCGTCTTCCCCACCACCACTGAAAAGCTGTCATGTCTTCCAGTAATGTAAACATAGAACTGCAGGTGATGCACACATGATGCTGAGACCATCCAGCTATTTCCACCTGGCTGGAGGTTCCAGGATAAAAGCACTCCATAAGGATACTCCATGTGTCCTTCTGTCATAAAGGTATTTTACTCACCTGCATCCACATTAGGGAATAGAACAAGTGTTCTCTTTTTAAAGGAGATGAGTGCATCTAGTGTAAGCTCAAACATCTTTATGGAATGTTTAATATCTGTGGTTACAGGGTGTTGCAGAGCAACTATATAATCTCTGGTTTTGACATCTTCACCTGTCCAAAAGAAGCCAAAGAAAAGGTTTTTTTATTGGCACAAAATTGTAAGAGGAAGGGAGGACATTTTTGAAACTGTATACAGATGTGAAAGCCTGAACAGTCAAGGCATTGAAGGGGGTATCCAACACAAATTTCAATGCTACAATAAAATTCAAGGGAATAACAGGAGAATATAGCTTGTTATTTGCCTCTCTAAGCAAATCTCATTACTTCAGAGACCACTACCTAAACCCCAGCAATCTGCTAACTTTCAGGCCTACATCTAAAGCTCACACCAGTATAAATCTGGATTAACATGAAAGCCCTGAAGCTGCTCAGGTTTTCTGTCAGTTGCCCATCTTCAAGCAAAGATTCATTCCCATTGCTTTAAAAAAAGTTTGTTTTAGTACATTTGATAAAAAAGTTTATCTGCAAAATATTCATCTACTGATCTAAGAAAATTCCAGCATCCAACTACACAGGTTATTGTGCCATATAGGAGACTGCTTTTTATCTTTGACAAACCAAACACAAAACCTCATTTTTTTTACAGGAATTATTTGTAAGTCAGTGAACATGTATTCCCTAAAAGAATGTTCACAATATAATTTCCCTTTGATTTCTTTTAGATTAGCCCTGTTCAGTTTTGATTCTATTTAAATATATCCTTTATACCAAAATAACTATTCACATAAGACTGTTTTGTTTTTAAGTTGTTCAGCTCAGAGAAGTTACCTATTTACAGGGTAACTTTTTTTGATTTAGCAAAAGGACCTGATGAGTTACTAGGAGAGATTTGTAGCTTTCCAGCTGTACATGTTAGAACACAGAACAAAAGAAAAAGAAAATGTTGAAAGAAATACAAGATACTATTACCAAATATACTGGTTTTTTGAGAAGCAGGTTGATGCTTGATAATCATCAATTAACAAAATTTAAACTTACTAGCATGAAGTCTGTCTCTTTCTTTCCTGTACTTTTCTCAGTCACTGGTCAATAGACTGATAACCTAGTTAGTGATTTTGTGTAGTGTTGAAAGTCTTCATATGAAAAAAGTAAGAAGTGGACTGCTCACCTAGCCACATGCGTATAATACTCATGTAGTCCTTATTTCTGGCAGAGAGAAGCTTGTCATACGAAGGACAGCCTGCTAAAAGGATGCGGTCATGGTCTTCACACATGGCTATCAAATGCTGCTCTGCGCTCCTTGTGCAACACACATGGTAATGGGCCAGTTTAGTTATAGCATGTCTGATAGAGTCATCAATGGTCCCACTGACTTCCCCACCTTCAATGTGAAGAATGCGAATATTCATCAGGGCTGCAGATGTGGCCAGAGCCAAAGCATCAAATCTGTCCCCGTGAACTATCATTATATCCGGTTTCAGGCGGTTCAGGACATCCGGTAACTTGACTAATGCAAGGCCAACTGACTCCACCATAGCTGCCTCATCTTCCCCTCTCACAATGGTGTGCAGTCTTGTATGAATATCAAAGTCATCTTGTTCAATCATACGATAGGTATTACTGAAGGTAAGAGCAAAAGTGTTAGTTAGTACAACTTGGGTTTACAGCAACAGTTTGACAAAATAAGTGTGTATTAGAATAGTTGGTACTGGATTTGAACACAGGCCTGCTTATCATATCTCCTTCATTGAGGAAAACAGTTTTTAAGATTTTAACAAAATGTTCTCATCTATATGAAGATCTTCCCTCATATACCAAGCATCAAGTTTTCTAGACACCTTTAATGAGCACTTTGCTGAACATATTCTGGAAATCCTCAGAAACCAAACTCTCTGTTCATGTGTTTGCAGAGCCTTTTGGAGAATAGATATGGTATGGTTTCCTTTCAGGAAAGGTATGTCAACTCACCAATATATCAACTGCTGGACAAGTGTGTAAATACAACAGATATGATGCAAAGCTGAGGCCTGTACGTTCAAAGAAAACATCCTGCTGCTATCATTCATTTTTCAGATTTTGTATTTGAGCTGTATAAAGACTTACAGACTTCAGAAATCACTGCACAAAGGCCTTAAGTTCAAAGGAAACAGACTTAAAAAAAGGCTTTCCACACAGCCTATGAGCTTTATTTCATAATGAGGAAGTTAAAACATTCCTTGAATACTAAGAATTATTACTGTTTAAAGTTAACATGTTTGAAATATGAAAGATCACACATCTGTATAATACTTGTTTTCCACATGCACTAAACCTGACCTAAGAAGTCTGCACACTCTGGCTGGAATGAGAAAAGACCCAGAAGCTTTCCAATTTTGTCTTTAATCCATCTGACACATTCACTATCTTATTCAAAGCATTACACTTTTAAACTGATTTCAACCAGATTTAATTTTCATTAAATCCACTCTGCTACTCATATGCTGCAAATGAAAATCTCACAATCTGCAAGCTGAGCAAAGATAGCAAGGACTATAAAGTGCTCCAGCTCAAGTAAAGAAGCAATCTCCATTCTGCATGACTAAAGAAAATCCTAACAATTCAATTCTTCTCACTGCTGAAACACACAGAATACCTTCCTACAAGTAACTAAAGTAATTTGTTTTTTTAAAAAGGCAAATCCTTTTTATGTGACTGAGTGAAGCGGCTCAGATTTTTATAGCATAAACTGCATTACATTTCCAACTCCATTTACAATTACCCTTCACAGACCTACTTTTTTTCTACTGTGTGCAATTAATCTCAAAAACTTTCTCCTCTTCTATATTCTTTCCCTTCTGAAAGATGAAAATCTAGGGAACAAGACTCTGCATTTTTGTTGTTTTGTTTCTTTTACTATCCTCTAAATATTTTAGTAAGAAACATTTTGCAGGATCACTATCATTCAAATTCTGCTACTGCCAATTACCCTACTCAAATCATTAGAACACATACATTTTGAGGACCTTTAATTCTCTAGGATCCCCCAGGTAAAGGAGTGCAGGGCTAGGTCCCCAAAAAAGCCCCAAGCAGTACCAGGGTTTAAGAATATTTACCACAAAGCAACCAAAAGCAACAACATTTTTCAGATCAAAACTTTTATTGCTTTGTGCATTACTAATCATTTACATCAGAAAAATGGGTGTTAAACACCTTGGAATTAAAAAAGTAGTATTTTGTGCTACTCTGCACAAGTCTTGCAATCCAGCAAAGGATTCAGAACTATAGAAAAATCAGGGTCATGTTTCTTCTCTTCAGCAAATAAAATGGGATCACCTTATTTCTCGAATCAGGCAGGATGTAATTCAACATGCTAACCTGCTAAGAAGTTTGACTGGGGGTTTTTTGTTTGTTTTTTTTAAATTGGGTTTCATTTGTGGTGTTGAATTCACCTTGACATGTTATTAGAAACAGCATCCAGTACAAAGCAAGGAACAGAACACTATATTGAGAATGAACAGCAGTGAAAGTTCCTGTTTTAATAGTTTGAGATAATATAACTTTCTCATACTCTAAAGTATAGAGTGCTAAAATTTCTTGTTGTAAAGTCCAGAAAGTGTCTTCACTTGAAGATATGCATAACATTTCTAGAAGTTCAACAATGCTAAATATGCTGCAAGCCTTATCCTAAAGTCTGATTTTGACTTGTAAAGTAAGCATTTTCCTATCTATTTCAGTTACTGGGCCCAATCTGGTAAATACAGCCTGAGCAAAACCAACCAACCAATCACAACCCCAGTAAGAATATGTATGCTGCTCCTTCTGCCTTTTCTCCAACAAGCAGCAGACTATTCACCTGGATGTGGAAAGTCCTTCTAAAGAAAGGGATTTGGACCAAGACATTCCATCCTCCCAGGCAGGTTATCTGACTGCTTACTTATAGTTTGGCAGGAGAGATTAGGGTCCCTTCCATAACACCCTATACCTAATATATCTATCAGTTATTTATTTTGTCAGAAAGAGACAACTACCCTTTCCTTCTTCCACAGTCCCATAAGGAAGAACTAACAGTATTCCCCAGGGATATGGAATATATAAGTACTTTCTCCAATAACTATACAAAGTGGAAGAGCTACAACATTAAATGACTGAAGATTTTCTTTCCTCTGTGAAAATTAAAATCTATAGCATGTTTTTCTTCAATAATCACCAGATTCTTAGAGAAATCTCAATTGAGTTTCTCACTTCATATTGTCTGGGATCCTGTTGCACATCTCAGTTACAGCATTTATACAAATTTCTAAAATTCCGAGACGTTAAAAAAACCAACAAAACAGAAATATGCAATCACAGAAGCAGCTTCAAAATTAAATAAAATCTGAAAAAAAACTTTTAAAATTTTGTTGTATACATTCATGATGACAAGGATTTTGTTACCTAACATTCATGATATTATCACTCACACCCAGAAACAGATTGGCAGAGAGACAAAAATTCACCTTACCCATAATCATCAATCAGGTGGGAACCAAGCACTACAACATCAAGTTCAAAGAACTGAGGTTCTGCCTTTATACCAAACATAATGGGAGCTAATTTTGAATAATCAGCACGGTTGCAAGTAGCCACACAAACACGAAGTTTGTGGTTGTTGCCATTCTTCTCCATTACTTCCTTTTGTTTCTGTTTTGAAAGATTCTTGAAATACACTTCCTGAAATAAATGGGAGGGAGGGGGGTGGAGAAGCAACATTAATAATAATCTTTATATCAAGTACACGGTACACTTCATAATAGGCATATACAAGTGCAACCCAGAACTGTGACACATACTAACTCATCCATTGATAAAAGACAGTACCTATCATTAGAAAGTTTTAGAAAAGGACGCTTATTTTTTCTTTCTTACCTAAATACCTCTATTTCTATAAATAATATATAAAAATTCTATATAAACAATATTTAAGTAATAGAAAGTTCAACTGTAATTAAATATTAAACTACTTTTTCCTGTTCAGATGGAAACTTCTGATACATGATTGATGCCTTAGTAAGTGAAAGAAAATAACCTCATATTCCAAAACCACAGAATGGGACAAACAGCTAAAAGATATATTCACTGACAGACTCTGTGAACAAGAAGAGAAAGTTTTTACCTCAGTCAGTTTATGTACCCGTTAGACACTTTGTTGAGGTAAAGTGAGTTAAACATTAGCTTCTAAACCCTTACATGCTGTTTTGCAGGCCAAAGTACATCAACATATTCAATAATACAAAATTAGGTTACAATAAGACAAAAACTTTTAGAGACAAGTAGATAAATACGGGTGATTATCATCATCAGGCAATTTGGAGGTTAGTGAAAAAAAGTTTCTGAGTTGAAATGCCACAGAAACAGTATTTTCACAAGCAACATCAAGAGTTACTGTAACAAGACATTTTCTCTAACCAAATTTTACAACTTGTTTAGCAGCTGATTAAACTAGGTAATAATTTTTAATGTTTGCACTTCCTCTGTTTACCATTTTGCCTTGATGTTTTTATTGTGGGTTTTGTTTCCATTTAGCAATTGGTAAAAACATTTCAGAGAAAAGGAAAAGCCCATTAAAAAAGTATATAGTGGTGTCCCCCTCAAACAGAAACTACTAAGTTGGTAGCAGAGTGTATCAGATCAGCTATCTATAAGTTAATCGTTGTCCTCCTTCCAAAGATAACTGTATTTTAGGTAAGTGCCATCTTTTCATTACGAAATCTAACGTTATGTCAGATTTTTACTACAGTTTAATAGCAAGTAAACTTTTTCCATATTAATGCATAAGGATTGCTCGTCTCTGACTCCGAGTATCAATCTCTCTACTGGTTTTGACAGCTAGGGAAGCTCTTTCTGTGCAGCTCCTATGCAAGCATGACAATATTGACATACAATGTCATGCTCCTTTTATATTGCATTTTATTTTTGTCAGTAAATTTTTAAAGGAAAGTCTATTGTGACATCCCATTCTTACAAATCTTAAAATTTAGCAATTTCTCAAAGATTTCCCAATTTTTAACACAGATTAGTTTCGGTTTTATCACAGATAGTGAAACATTGTTTTGGTGTAATAGTAACATTAGGGTGATCAGGAATCTATCTCAAGTTGTAAAAGGTAAGAAAATGTTTCTAGTCTCCCCTTGCAATCCATTATGGCTCTGCAAAACTATGATTGGCAGTGATGTTTTTCCTCCAACAGCCAGGATTCCTGATTTTACACTACCTTTCAGAATAAAGCTGAAGTAGCAAAAAGCAAAGATGGTTGCCATCATTAAACTCATATGAAATGGCACTTACTTACTCAAGCAAAGCAGCTATGTCAATGCTAGCCAACTGCAGTAAAATAGATACAGTTTGGAATTTCAGCATTTGATTACTATGATGAAAAATTGAGTTCTATGGATTCAGCCATGAAGTGATAGATATCCTTCATCTGAATTTACATTTGAACCGTACTTCAAATTGTCAAATGATAATCCTCCTGGCAAATTACTTCCTCATGCTGAAAGCATCTGCAGTTACGTATCATAGTATATATGATGGCTGTTTTAATTTAATCTTGTCTTTCTTTTTGTCCAACAGACTTGAAATATTTTTAAAGTATGTAAGAAATTCAGTACCTCATTTTGAAAATGTAGAAAGAGTACTTTGCAGGATTTTAGATGCTGCATAAAGGTAGGTCAGAGAGCATGTTATCCTGTATCACCAAGGGAAACCTGAAACCACATTAGCTAGATTCAGATCTGACTGAACCACTGCTTTCTCGTTTCTAAAACAACCTCTTTTTGGAGATGGTTCTGAGCAGGACATCCTGTCACTGTACATGTAAAAACAGCCACTAATTCAAATAAAATCACATTTAAGATATGAGGGCCACTTCTGACATCCCTATTAGCTTGTTTTTGAAACTGCATGAATAACATTAATATAATTAAAGCAAACCTCTCACAAGACTGCATATTCTATACTATATAAACTGAGAAGCCAAAGGAGAAGCACAAAATAAGGAAGTGACAAAGCGAGCTTACCCAAAGCCTGCTTCCTTCAAGTTATCTGAGCTAGAACCAGCAGTTCTGACCCTCTGACAAAGTAGTTATCTTTTCATTTGTGCAAAGCAGGCTTTTAAGAATGTTTTACCAATTATCAGGCCTTAGCATAAAGGACACAGCCAGCATAAAGATGAACCAATAACCAAGTTGTATTTGATAAAAAAGGGTCAGTACATGGGTGAGCACTGGGGGTACAAACAAGTCAATCAGATTATATATAATCAACAACAACCCCACTGAACCCAATAACGACACCACATGACCAACAATGGGTGGAATAAATGGTGAAATGCAGTCTCTCGTAGAAGGGACAGGAGACAACAGAGTCAATAAACCAAACACGTAAGACCAAGGAAGCCACATACTGAATCTCTACACAGCCAACATTTACAAAAGCCAGACCTGACTGGAGCCCAGTTCCAGGGAGACAGGAGGTCCTTCCCCAACAGCAAACACTGCAAAATGCATCCACCTCACAGACAGACACTGCCCCTTCCTGCAAGTGGTCCCAGCCTTTATCCCTAAGTGGGACACCTGACCTTTGTTTACTTAATGCAGACACCTGGGGGTCATTTACCTAATGGCTCTCCCTGCAAGGCTGGCCAAACCCTGGAGAGAAGACTAAAGGCAAACTCACCCCCACTTTGTAAAGGGCTGTGGGAATCACCCATAAGTCAACCTTAATTTGGGGCTTGGCGTTGAAACCCCAGTATTTCAAAGCAGCATAATAGTTTTCTGTCCCCCTTGATCTTCAAGCACTGTCTAAAATTCTAGAACCTTTCAATCCAAATCCAGAAAACACCATCTCCTGAAATACTGTCTGTAAGTTATAAAAAATAAAAATCTCATGGTTCACCATAACTACAGATCTACCAGAAGTGAACTGCTAGATCACACATCTTTCTGGCCACACAGATCACATTCAATTACAGTTGCTATGGGCTGCAATAATGGTCTCTTGAAATAATTTCAGAGATAGATGTGGAGATACTTCAAAGGTATCCGAACTGAACAGAATCAAAAAGCAATTCATGCTCTTTGAGCGTTTCAACTTCTGTTAGCATTAGGTTTCAGCAAGCCCCAAAGCAGAATTAATTTTAGTACTGCCTTAAACTTCTGTAACACAATAGTTTCAAAACCTTGAAAATAAGCCACACACAGGCCTTGGTGCACACAGTTCTTCTACTGCAGTTTTAACATCTGTTTTTCTGAAGAACAAAAATATTTACCCTAGCAAAAGGACTGAAAACAATCCAATATAAGTGTTAAGTACATGAGGAAATGTTTTTATGTGTTTCATTGTAAAGAAAAATACTGCTACATCACAGTTAAAAAAGACAATTCTATCTTGACTCTGATTTATTCTGAACCTGTAAATGCAAAAATAATTCTGTATTTTCAGATCATATTCACTGTCAACAAATAGTGGCAAAGTCCCTTCACTAACAGTATATTCCTTCAAGCAGAGCTGTAATGTCCTAGCTACATATTTTAAGTTTGTTACCATTATGATTTTGGATTTTTCAGGCTAGTCACTTTTCAGAACAGTTCACTGAAATTCTTTTAAATAATCACTAATAATTACCTCTTGATTTCTAGGTGTTTGATGGTATACTGAGTTTGATCTACAGAGCCTCCTCTAGTCCAGAATCTTCCTGTTCCAAGGTCTACATTTTCTACCTTGCTGGGACTAGTAATCTTCAGCAGAAGGGAGAAGAAATGAAAGTGATCCATGAAGGACTACTTGAAATAATTAATCTCTACTTGTTTTAGTCTACTGCATTTCCACACCCCATCTTAAGGCTTTTAGAGGTTCAATGACTTTTTAAGATGGCGGAATTCTGGGCCACATTTTACAGCAACCAAGTAGCTACTATTCCTGTCAGCAGTCTCAAGTGCATGAGACACCCCTTTACCTGCGTTTCACAAATAATGCCATCTGTATATTCTACATTCACATTTCTAAAGCAATGATTTTTAAAATCAAAGAGCCTGGAGTACTCCTCTTTGCAATCTCTGTAGATGCTTGTGTGCTTGTGGAGTCATCCCATCTTCTCATTTGTTTCTCTGTGTGGTATGTATATAGGTTATTCTGCCCAAAACTCTTCCCACACCATGTACTAGTATGTGTATTCATGCCAGTCTTCTTTACCCATCGGGCCATTGCTTCTATATAACCCATATGCACACACCTGTGGGGCCTGTTGCTGCAGCCCTATGCCTGGTGGCTATATACAAAATCAAATCTGTCAGCAACTCCCCTGAACGCATCTGTGCAAGTGGAAAAGCATTCTGTAACCTTGCGTATTTGTTTCTTGTCTCACCCTGTGCACATATTACCCCATGCTGAGGTGAGAAACCCTTCCCACCATTTTCCCCCGACAAATGGGATCAACCTCTTCACTGCCCACCTTCTTTATGTGTACGTGGGATCACGTTCTCTACGCCTCTCAAGTATAAAGACAGATTTATTACCCAAGTGGAGGGTCTGCCCTTCTGTACCTCATTTATCCTACATCTGCAAAGTACCATTCCAGATGTACACCCCCAATATACACATGGAAAACCCTTCTGCCATGCAACTTATATGTGTGCACATACTCAAGTGCAGGGTCATTTCCTCTATAGGCCTCTGTAAATCCGTGTGTGCAAGGGCTGTCCCTCAACACACCTCCAATACGCAGAACCGCACACATGCCTTTCTGTAGACAATCCTTCCATTCTCCCCGATTTGCACACGTGTATATACCCACACCTATGGCCATTCTCTTTATTCCCCCGGAAAAGACTCACGTGCACCTTTCACGTGCAATATCTCCCCTAGACGCACCCGTGCACACATGCCTTGGCAAGGCCGTTTCCGCTGAACTCCCCAACATGCCCCTGCACGTACTCCCAGCGCAGGTCCTCCCGCTGCGTACCTCGCCACACAGGTGTGCATACGACCGGTCCGCTGCCCCCAGCGCTCACCCTCGCAGCACCACCCCGGACGCATGCGCGCCCACCCCCAGCCCTGCGCCGGCTGCCGCGCGCAATAAAGCTTACGCACAGTCGGTGGAGCTCTTCCCACCCGATGACGCCCCGGCGCTGGGGCGCGGCTACCGGCGGCTCTGCAGAGGTCCTACCACCCTTCCCCCTATTTCCGCCGGGCCGATAAGGCGATGCCGCGCGACCTTCCCTGCCCAGCAGTACGACCTCAGCGGCCCCAGTTCCTCTGGGCCCCCAGGCACCCCGCGTAGGCCAGGCCAGCGTGACCCCACTTCACGATCACCTCACCCCACAGCGGGGACGCTGGAGCTTAGCTCATCAAAGGCCGAACTGGCACGAAAACCCCGCCCTCAGCAGGGCGGTCCCGCCTGTCCCTCCTCCGCGGAGCGCTGGGGGCGGGGCGGACGGGCCCAGTTGAGGAGCGGGCTTTCACCAGGCTGCTACGCGCCCCACAGCTTGAGGCTAGGCCGCAGGAGCCGGGGGTCTCTTCTCTTGGCCTGGTACTGAACACCTTCTGCTGCGGGGGTCTGCAGAGTGACGGCGTAGCAGCCCTGAGCGGTGTCGAGCTGGACGTCTCCCTGGCGAAGGGCTGAGCATGAGGCTGTTCGTGGTAGTGTTTGTGTAGGAATGTGTGCTGGTTTGCTTCTATAACCGTATCCTTATCTCAGGACAGCCTCTTGCTGCCGGTTTATATATGGAATAACGTGATGCAATACACATCAGAGCAATGCAGTTAAAACTGCTTTAGTGGAGATTACCATCATGTTAACAGCTTTTAAAATAAGGGGTGTCAGAAAGCTGTGAACTGTGAGGTTGCCTGTACGAGGTGCAAACTGAGGACAGGCACAGCCCACAGCAATGCATGGAAGAATAAGGAGGGTGCCTGATCTTGCAGGCTGTGGGGAACTATAGCCCTGTGTGGTTAGAACACCTGCCTGTAGCTCAAAGGGATTTTGGGCGTGCTGCAGAATTCTATTACTTTGGTGTTAATTCAGCCAAGAATGCCTGTTCCTTAAATCCTGTTGATTCCATCGGCAAGTGACACAATCAAATGAGATGTTAAACCTGCCATCAAGTATTGCTGATCATCGGTATGTTTCAGTGGATTGTAAAAGAGAAGAAGTGTCTTGTTTCCTCACACTGAATGTGTTTTGGGGTCAAAGTGGTCTGTCATTAGTGAGACTACTGTGACTTGGATCCTAGATCAATACCCTAGGCATCATGTGTGAGAACAACAACCTATGCCCACTATATTTTGCTATGGAAGCACCTAAAGAAAATGTTTAGGTAGCTGGTGGCACACAGTCCCAGTAAAATAAGAATTCTTCACCCACTTTTCTCTCTCTGATAGATCTCATGTTTGTGTGGCTGAAATGTGACAGTCTAATGTGGTACAGTCTAATCAAGCCTGTGCCACATTCAGTTCTTTGGTGCCTGCACTCTGACATAGTTTTTCAGTCCAAATTGTATCTTTGTTCATCCATATAATACTTGAAGTGTCTCAAATTCCTTCTGCTCTCACCCTCTACGTCTCAGGAAAATTAGCCTTAATGGTGACTCCTTGTCTGACATACCTACAAAAAAAAAATAGAGGCAAGGAATTGGAATGGTTGCCTTCCCGTCCTTTACTAGGGAGAAAAAGTTGACTTTCTACCATTTATGAATATTTGTTTAGAAAGGCTTTGAGAAATAAACACTGAAGTCTCCCAACTAAAAAAATATCTTAAACAGGAATTATTGCAATTATGGTGATTTAAAATGTAAAGTAAAAAACCTTTAAGATTTGCCCTTGGGAATTTAAAACTCTGAATTGACCACTCTCCAAGAGAAATAGAATATCTTATGCTGATGTTCAGAAAGTCCTCGGACAGCTGTGGTCCAATGAGTCATAGCTCTGCAAAGCCTCAATGTTTTGAGAATATTGTAACACACCTGCTTCTCAAATTACCAGGGATCTTAACTTGAAATACTGACCAGAGGTAGTAATAGCAAATGGAAGGCACCTTAGGTCCAATTCATGTCCCACTTAAGTTGATTTCATTGTTCTCTGTATCACTAGATTTTCTTTATGCATACTGCACATTGCATAGAAACCTATGTGCATTCTAGAAATGTCATTATAAGTAAGTTTGAATTGTCTCCTGAAATGCTTTTGGGTTATGATAAGCTTACCAGTCTACCTACAGCTGGTTTCACTGAGACAAAATGCTGAGCCTGAATCATATTTGAGCATGAGTGTATGGAAGTGTGTCTATATTTACAAATCCTGAGTTATACTAGTACTTATGTAGCTAGAAGCAACTGCATTGAGAGTTATTCTTACAACAACATCAATGCATCTCTTGATACGTTTTTTCCAGAAGTGTTCTAATGGTGTTTCAGCATCTTGTAGCACAAGCTGCAGAAGGGGGAATGTTTATGCTCCTTTTGGTTATTTCTCCCCCACAGACCTTGTGTAATACATAAATACAGTGAAATTTATCTTGGGTAAGCAAGCCCTGCCCCAAGTCTCTCCAGCAGAAAAACAAATGCTATCCAGAAAGGTGAGATGGGAGGAGAAGCTTCAGCCCATATTCTGCCTGCTGCTGTCAGTCTTACCCTTTGCTGCTCAGAATCTTCAATGATGCTGTGAAGATGGCCTGCTATCCTTACCAGGCCCTGAGACAGTACTGAGGCTCATCAGAAGAGTAGGGTCTCAGTGTTCACATTAATTCATTGGCCCTATCTTCACCAAAAAGCTGTGCAGAAATGGTAACAGCCATGCAGAGAAATACTGGAGATGGTCTTTTTTCTTTCAAGAGAGATCATGCTGCTTAAGATTTGAACAGAAGGACCAAGATCATCTGTTTTGGTTTTCAGCTTGCTGAAAGATCAGACTCTTTGGAAACCTACCCCAAAAGAGGTAAAGATGCTAAACTGTGGTCTGAGAAGGGATTTGTCAGTGCATGACTATGTGCAGGAGATGGATATTGTGGACAGAAAGAGTCAGCAGCACTGTAATCTTCTGCACTGGGGCTAAGCACCATGTTACTTCTTACCTCTTGAGAATAAAGGAATATGTCTTTTTAAATCAATATCTACATGAGATGGAGCTTTAATTACTTTTTTCCTTAACTCTTAATTTACATCCATTTTATTTATGTCAAAATCAGCTGCTGACTGTAAGAAAAGAAAACCTAAGATTTTCAAAAGCAACTAGAAGCATCTGTCCCTGTCAATTCTATACTGTCCAGCCTAAGACACTTGAAAGCAACTTGAATTTTAGTTATAAGACTCATGGTGGTTTCAGAAGAGCAGGACCTTCTGACAGCCAAACTGGTAACTTTTGAAGATTTTGGCACGTTAATGCTCAGCTGCTGTGAATGCACTCAATTATGAATATTCCTTATAGGAAAAGACCGAGTAACACATGCTACATGATATAAGGAGAATATAAAAACATACACATAGCAGGGAAAGCATGACAAGTTATTACCTTCCTGTGTTTTCCTGTTTGTTCTTCCCAGATGAGCTGTGCAGTTAATAGTAACTGTAAGCAACCACAGGAGTATGTTAGCTAGGCCAGTATCACATCACATTATTTGATGTTTTGGAGAAAGGGAAGACATAGAGGATAAGACAATGACATACATGCTATGTAAAGGTAAATCTAGGGTTTTATTCTCCCCTCACCCCAACACAGATCTCTCATCTTTGCTCAGTGTCTTATGCTAATACAAAAAGAGGACCTGCATGTAGGTCAGATTGTTAGGCACAGAATTACTGGCTAACGGAGAAGAAATCCAAAACTGTGTGAAAATCTGTTCCCTGTCTCGGGGACGATATGTGTCCAAAGAGCAACAAAGCCGGTGAAGGGAGCTGTCTTATGAGGAACTGCTGAGGGAACTGGGGTTGTTTAGTCTGGAGAAAAGGAGGCTGAGGGTTGACCTTATTGATCTCTACCTGAAAGGAGGTTTTAGCGAGGTGGGTATCGGTCTCTTCTCCCAAGTAACAAGTGATAGGAAAGAGAGGAAATGGCCTCAGGTTGAACCAGGAGAGGTTTAGGTTGGATGTTAGCAAAAATTTCTTCACCAAAAGGGTTATCAAACTGGAACAAGCTGTGCAGGGAAGTGGTGGAGGTACTGTCCCTGGAGGTATTTAAAAGATGTATAGACATGGCACTTAGGGACAGGGTTTAGTGGTGGACTTGGTAGTGTTAGGTTAACAGTTGGACTCAATGGGTCTTTTCTAACATAAATGATTCTATCATTCGACAGTGAAATCAGGTGCATCAAAATCTCATGTAACAAGCACAGTTGTGAATCTCATTGAAATAACTAGGAATTAGCTAAAAAGTATAAGAGGATTTTTTTTTTTTAGAGCTGCCGATGTTTGATAACAGATTAACCACCTCTTTTTTCTTATTGGAAAGATGGCATATGCTGATATCTGGTGTATTATAACTGCATCTCCTTATATCCTATAAAATTTGAGTCATTTTTCAAGTAACTAGTTAGAGTCATAGGATGCAAAAAAGTCCTGGTATGAAAAGCAACCTCCATTCTAGGGAATTCCTTGGTCAGGGGTTGGGGGTGCAAAGCACTGGAAGGAACACTGGTAACCTCAATAGGATTTTTTTTCAGTTTGTTCAGTCTCTAACAACTTGAGCCTTTACCTTAATTTCATGTTAAGAAAATCACAAAACTTCTTTCCCACCCCCTTTCTCTAAAAATAAAACAGTGGAACTGACCCACTTTTTGCTGTTATTTACTCTGCTTGTGTGACCTGTTTAATTGTTCAAACGGGTCTGTTTTCTTTATTTGGATTAAAAACTTTGAAGGTTCTGTTTTTTCTATTTTTTCTGAAGCTCCACTATGTTCATTCCTGCTGCAATAAACATGATTGGTGATTGCTGACACACATCAAACATCCACTAGGGAATATGACACAGTTCAACATACCCAAACTGGCTTCAAACCAGTTGGTCTTGAACAACGATGACAACCAAGGCTGGGGTGATTGTTGTGGTGTAGTTCTTCGTCTTACTGTGCTGTTGCCTGTGCTGTGCATCTAAACCCCTTTCTTGATCAGTAGACAACATGGTTTACTTAAAACAATTTGAGGCACATTCAGACAGGAATGAATAGAGCTGCTGTACATTCTCAGAGTATTTGGACAAAAGCCAGTGAATAATCAGCTTGACTGGAAGCTGTCATCACTAGGTAAGAACAGTGGGTAAACTTGCCAAATACCAAATCCCAGTTTCCACCTCTGCTACAGGTGGGAGAGTTATTTGTTATACATACTTGGTTGAGGAAACCATGCAGAATAAGCAAGTTATCTGGATAAAAATGGCTCTTATATGTGAAAGATCAGAAAGCAAGTTCTGTTAAGCTTTCTCAGTTATTACTTTGGGTTTTTATTACAAGTGGTTTATATTGCTTTAAGGAGGCAAGTTTGCAAGACTGAGCTTAATTCTCTACCCCTCTTTCAGTGGAAGCTAAGCCTACATTGTTTCTGCTTCATTCCTACTGTATTATCACAATTTTAAAGATGGAAGATACCAAAATTACCATGCTCCAGTAATGCTGTGGTTCTACTCTTGTGTTCTGCTGTACTCCATGCAGCCCTCTCTCCTCACTCCAATCTTCCTTTCAGCAGGTGAAAAGAAACTAAGGGTGCATTGTGTTTGTCCAAACAGAAGCAGCTGTGTATGTAGGTCTGTGAAGTCTTGCAAGCTCTAACAAAGGTGCAAGAGTGGTGCTGTCTTGGAGCAGGAAGTCCATCAGGCCACAAGCTGGGAGAAAGAAGAGGAGGAGCCAGAAACTACCATCTAGTGATGACTGCCTAATTTTTCCACTTAAATTTGACATACAGTGCTGAAAATTGAATGGCTGGCAGTAAGGAGGAGTACTGGATCAAACTTTGGCCTCCTGTCACTATTAATAAATATGTCCTTGTTGTGAATAGGTCTAGAGGTCCCTGTTTGCCATTCTTGACCAACTAGTATCTCTCTTACATCTTTCTTAGCCCTTTTGAGGCTGTGTGGTATCCTACTTGCATGCAACTGTGTTTTCAGTGTGTCTGTCGGCTGACAAATATTTGAAATATATCTTCACTGGTAGTTCATCACTTTAATTTTAAGGGGTAAAAATGCTACTACGTAATTAGAAAATAAATCTGTTAAGCAGAGATCTAATAACAGGACTAAAGAATGATAATATTAATCATGTATTTCCACTTTTTTTCCATATTAAAATAACTTGGTTTGTGTGTAATTTGTGGACTTTGGCTATTAACTGCACTAAGACAAAAAAAGTCTAAAGAAAAAAATGGGATTGTAAAGATGGTGACAGTACAAAGCATATAGTCAGTTTACAGTTGCAAAGACAGATGAGGAAAATTCGAGAAACAGAGAATAGAAAATGAGTAAAGAAGTGTAGCTGTAAAGGGTAAATCCTGCCTTGGAAGCTTGTAGCACATGAGGTATCATTAGCTGAGTTATTCAAGTGTCTTCTTTAATCATGTGACCTTTAGAGCAATCTTAAATCCTAAACTATTATATGGCTATTATATTTTCCTGAAAAAATTTCAGATATTTGATTTGAGGAAGCTGCAGAGATGTAATGGAAGGCTCAAATGCCAGTCAAAAGCAGTGTTTTCAGTATCAGGCATTACACAGAAGTACATGTTTGTTTTTAAAGCTGGGACAAGAAAGAAATGTCCTCATTTTTTGTTTGGAGTATCTATAGCCCTTATTTTCATAACAAGCAATCTTCAGAAACAGTTTTGTTTAAGCAAAAGTCAATGAAAAGTAAAAACAAGCACAGAGTTTTAAAAGAGGTACTGTCTCTCTATAGAAGGCTTTCAACCAACAAACCTTCTGTAAATGTGCTTTACTTGGACAGGAAGCCAGGACCCTATAAATGATGAAAAGCAAATCTCTGGAATTCAGAATGACATATAGGAATGGAAAAAAAACCCACCTCTAATGGCCATTTACTTACTTCTTTTTGATACTTATCTGGAAAAAAAGTCACATGAAGAGCATCTGATTCAGCTGTTATTCTGACTCAACTTTCACAATAGTCTAATTTTCTCAGCTGGATTTGCTACCCATGTTCTTTTATTAAAGCTTAATTTAGTACTCAATATTTTAATGAAATATAGTCCAGAATTACAAAGAAATAAAAGCAACTGCTAACTTCAACACACATGCTCATAGGCTATGCTGAGTCCCTCCAGGAAAGACCATACACCACTGAGAGACTAGCAATTTTCCTAAGGCCCTCAATGTACCAAGATGTAGGAATTTACTCAGAATCATGTGGTTACTAGATCACTTTCTGAGTGCTGAGGCAGTATTTATTAGAAACTTAGCCTGAATGTCCCTGCCATGTGGCTAGTGAGACTTCATTTTATGAGAAGCTCCCCCCTCTTACTTTTCCTGTTTTCTGAAACCTTGTGTATCTCTGAAAAGCAGTTACGAAATACTGACATTGTGTATCATGCTCTCATGCCTGTATTTTCTCATACAAAGTTCTATGACTCACCTCAATCTTTTTACAATGAAATTGTAAGAAAAATCATCAAATTTGAACAGGATTTTCAAAAGGACATTTTGTATTTCCAAAATACTTAGAAAATCACTGTGATTGGTTTCTACCATATGAAATCATGCTAGTTGATGGAAAAGATTACAGGGATGCTTGACTCTACCCTAGTCTCTATTTTACACTACCCATAAAAATCCCCTTTCCCTGAGCACCACAGTGGTGATGGAATCTCCTCTCCTTAATTATCTCCCTAGTGTGGGCTGCCAACATCCTTACTTGCTAAAGTTCTCCAGGCTGCAGGTAGACTTGTTAAGTATGATATGCTAAAGGAGCAATGCACCTGAGGTAAAAAATCTTCTGGTAGAAGAGTGCTTCCAAGTCAAAAAGTCTTTGTGTACTAACATTCTAATTTAAAGCCTTGGGGGACATGCAAATATTAAGTGCCCTTGATTTCCTTAATATGAATTAATAAGCTTTGTTAATTTTCACTTCTGTCCCTAAGTTACTTTATACTTTTAGCATCTCATGTACTGACACAGTGAAGTCACATTTGGCCTCAGAGCACCACAGGGAAACACTGCTACAAGAGGGCAAAAAATGTCAATTTGTTACTTAAAAATAAGAACAACAGACAAATTTTC